GCCATGTTTCACCTCATTTTCACGTCCAAGGCACGGGTGCAAGGTTGGCCGCCGCCTGTCGCGGCCATTTGTGCGCAACCTGCTGGGCGCGGCCTCCAGCCTCACCCTCCAGGAGTTGCAGGCACGGGGCTTCGAGAGGCTCCAAAGTGCCGCAGCTCCGGTTGGGACCGTGTATAGACCGCCCAGCTGGTACCAGTGCTTTTCTGGTTTATGCTGTTGTTTTGGGCGGGGGACTCGGGCCATCATCTCAATTGTGTGCACAACCACGATCCCGGCAAGCTGGGGCCTCTTCCTTTCAAAAGCCCGTCAACTGACGCGTGTGCAAGTTTCTTCGATAAGGCCCCCCCTTTTCGTTGGCATGAAGGAAACTAACCAAACAAACATAGGCATTGAAAACCAACTAATAAAGGAACCAACCAAAGAAACCTAGCCATTTAGTATGAGGGATCGCTATGTTGAGGACATTCATTTGATTCAAAAATAAACATGGCCGTTTAGTGGGGATCACTATGTTGAGGACAATCATTTTTGTTGATCTCATCTTCCGTTTGCCTCAGGAGGAGCTGAATTTCGAGGCCGGGGAGGAGAGGGACTTCCGGGGCAGCCGGGAGTTCCTGGAGAAGCCGCTCAAGGAGCTGGGCCTTGAGGGCGTGCCTCGGATTCGACTCGGAGCGTGGGGGCGTCTCAACTAGGTCCGCCAAGTGAGGTAGCTCTGCATTGCCACGTGTGGGGGTTGGATGGGGTTGGGGGGGTGGGGTTGGGGTTGCAGGGGTTGGGGTTGGGGGGGTGGGGTTGGGGTTGGGGGGGTGGGGTTGGGGTTGCAGGGGTTGGGGTTGGGGGGGTGGGGTTGGGGTTGGGGGGGGGCATCAGCCGGGTCTCCCAGTAGTGCCTTTTTGCTTCTTTTTTTTTGGGGGACAGAGAAAAGGGTACCCTTCTTCAACCTCTCTACTGGAGGACCTAGTCAAAGTCCCCAAAGTGGTGTGTGTGTGTGTGTGTGCTGCCACGTGTAGGGGCATGACTGTATCCACTTCTAATTTGAGAGAATGAAAGCATGAGCTCTGGCAGACTGGTTGTTGTGCACATATTGGTATCTGCACCGTCCATACCTTGTATGTTGTTTGTATGGCAGGTGTTGGTTCTGCCGCCACGAGTTGGCAGTTGCTTGCACATGGGCAGCGAGAGACGACTGGGATCCACTGGGCATTTCGGTCAGTTCGCTTGGGGCTTGAGGTGTTGACCTTCCAAAACCAGGGCGAAGAGCTGGAGCCAGGAGATGCGACTGCAATGGTAACTTGAGCTTATCCAAGGATTGAGCCTCCACGTCAAAGGAACCGTTCCTTTTGCTCTCGCAAAGTTTGGTAGGAGGCGCACAGAGGGAGGTCACCGATGAGAACAAGGAAGACTGGCTGATGAAGACCCTCCGCTGGGAGCTGTTCGGGGCTGCCAACTACGCAGCCGGCTGGTTCCGGGCTGGCCTCATCGATGTCCTGGGCGGCCACAAGACGAGCCATGGCTTGACACGATGGCATGCGCATGTTTGTTCGGGCGATCTGAGGATTTGCCCTTTGCTTTGCCTGTTCGATGCGGGGGACCTCATGGAGCTTTGGGGCACTGGCGGCATAGCGCGACAGGAGCTAAAGCAGTGGAAGGACCGGGGCCATACGAACCCCCGACCTATTGCGGTTCAAGTGCATTTGAGGCAGTTGTACTTTCACAGCAAACCAGGGGACTTCGCACCATTCACATTGTGAATGGAATTCGGCCGGCCGGTGCTCGAGCTTGGATACCCTACCCCCAAAGTGCTCAAAGCGACTTGGCTGATGCCAGGCGGTGACATCTCTGAATCCCAGCATCCAGCAGCAAGGCGCCTGGTTCTGGCAGGTCCTGGAGGAAGACTTTGATGATGAGCTCCTTGGATAAAGCCTGTGCCTGCCAAGCTGCTAAGGCTTTAGGTTTGTAAAGTTGTGGCATCCTTTAAAATATCGAGCTTCACAGAGGTTCATAGATTACCAGCACTTTCTCTTGGAAGGCTGTAAGAGAGTGTTTGAGTGCCCATTCCATCAGTTGGGCAATCACAGCATTCGCCAAATTTTATTTGTCTCAACATTTGGGTTGAGTGACTTGAGTCTTTTGTCAGCGGAGCAGCAAAGGGCACCATGCTCGGGGCCAGGAGTCGGCTCGGCTCGGCCGATCGCCAAACCGCTTCAAATACCCTTCCACCAGCTAACATGGAAGTACACAGATTTGTGTAGAAAGACGACTTTCCTCTTGGAAAGGGCCTTGTTGCACTTCCATGTTAGTTGGTGGGAGGGTACATGGCTTGGGCCCTGGGAGCCATGGGTGGCGCCCTTCGCGCTTCGCAGGTTGCGGGGCAAGGTGCTGCAGTTTGCCACCGGCTCCTCCAGCATCGGGCGCCAGGGTCTGGTGGACTTCCGACTGGAGCCGGGGGACGGAGGAGATGGCCCCTTGGACGCGTTGGGCTGATGCTTGACTTGGGCCTTAGCAAAGATTCAAAACCAATCAGCTGCGCCGAAATCCGGTCGGAGGTAATGATTGGAGGACGTCCTGCGCCAACCAAGCAAAGTCTTCAAGCGTCTGTGGTACTAGTATGATGGTCTCCAGACCCCATGTCAACAGAGGCATGCTGATACAGCGTTTAGCCATCATGCAGCGACGCTGGATGCATATTCCTCTGGGATAAATATAGTGACTGAGAGGTTCCTAGAATTATTGCTCCTGGCTCATTGATATGTTTGGTGCCGGTCTTGTGCAATCAGTATGTATGTTTTTTGGAATCTGTTCAAAACCGGGTTTGCGCAAACAAGGCATTCAACCCCTTGTGTTTGGAAACCAACAATTATTTAAGGTGATGTTTGGTGAAGATTGGAAAATTGTCTTGGGTGGGATTTGCGAAGGTTTGGAACCTTTTTGGAACAAGGAAGTGCAAAAAAGGTCCCCAGAAGAAGACGGCCGGGCTGGCAGGAGTTTAGTACTGGTTTGGCATACCCAAAAAGGTAGGGGAGGAGAGTCGGTTTTGAACCGTGGTCTGGCAAATGTGATATTTTCCAATGAGGTGCATTCATGAACGCGGGATGTGGAGTAGACGAGGACGATCATCATGCTGAAACTTTCTCCGAAGCGTCGGGATTTGGCTTGGCACGCTTCTTTGGGCATGTTGTGTTGGAATATGTTATACTTCATTGACCTTGAGAAACGAAAGCAGGGTCGCAGGGGTCAGACCATGGCATGCCTTGTGAACCATATCGAAGCGCACTTGATCGATTTGATGTTGATGTGATTCTGTCGAATTCTCCCTGGATGTAACAACTCCACTTTCTGCTAACACCACCACCTCAGAAACCCTGGAATGGTGATTCCCCTGTAAATACCAACTAACGTTATGCTTTCAGCCATGGTTTCAACCGTGGTGCGAAATGGATTTCGCAACCATCCACAGTAGGTTTGCCGTCGCATGCCGTCGCTGCCACTGGAGGTCGATTGCCCACGGCCATGACCTGCGGGCATCTGCTGCAGCTGCCGCGCTACTCGAGCCGCCAGCAGCTGCGTCGGCAGCTGCAGCAGGCCGTCGAGTCCACCGGCTCCTTTGAAATGCTCTGAGCCGCTCGGACCCCAAAGTTCCCATGATGCGCCACATGTCCCAAGCGAAGCGCCAAGTTTTTTTCAGCGAAGCGCCAAATTGTGATGGGGGGTCTGGAGCAGACAACCGGAAAAGAACGAATGCCCAATTGAGGTGCCAGCAAAGGCATCGGTCAGCTCAATGACTCTGTTGTGCAACGCTTGCATTCCAGATCGTTCCAGCTTTCCATTGAGCTTCCTCGGCAATGCCAGAATTGTTAACTTCACTTTGTTGCCTGCCTGGGATGAAGATAACGTACCACGTGCCACGAAAGGTGTGCCATTTGCTTGTCCTCAGGTTGGCCGTCGAGCGCCAGTGGAGCTTCCAGGTCTGAAGACCGTTCCCCTGTTTCATGGCCTGAGATTCGGGAGAGCCTGTAGCTCGGGTCCCAAGCCGGGCCACTCGGAGAATCAAAGCTCAGCAAGCTGTGCATCCGCGCGGCAAAAGCGGCAAGTGCTGCCAGATGGCTGTGGGTGAAAACCAATGGCATCGCATTTTGGGCTATGTGAATTCACCACCCAAAATTTAGAACCTATTTTAGTGTGGATATCGGATGTTCACTGGGGGCTAACCAATTCTTAGAAATTTTGACCCACCAGATTTTCCCATTGCAACGTCTCCAAAGGCACCTGGACCTTGCCAGGTGGGCCCAGAGCCGGATGCCTGGTACAAGAGGAAAGCCAAGCCCCGGGCCCCAGAAAGCGAAAGTCGCGTGGCTAGAGTTGGTTCGTGAAAGAGCCCATGGAGCCCAGGACTCAAAGCAAAGAGAGATGACTCAGTCTCCAACTCATTTGTGAGCTTGTGGAAGGCTGGAGATTTAGATAGTTCCTTTGTGTAGTCTTTGGGGAGGGAATAAAGCAATTGTGCAGCCATTGCAACTTGGATCGGCACCGCCTTGAGCCTTGCACGCAGACAAACACACAGAGACACAAACACCACACACACAAAGACAGAAATGCAGAAGCACGCGCACACACACACACAGACACATGCAGACACCTTACACATTTGCCCACTTGTTTGAGCATAAGATTGAACTACGGCGAACAAATCACATCCTGTCCAGCCAAAAGACATTTTAGACATGGGATAAACGTCGGTGCAGAGAAGTAGAGGGCACAAGCCAGCCCATCCCCCAGGCCTTGCTGTAAGTAAGTCGAAATCATTCCAAATTCATCTCAGCTGTGCAACTTTAGCAGCCCAGGGAATCACATGGCCAAGTCTCATCCGTAAGTGGCGCTTTTGGTGCCTAGATCTATTCTTGGGCCAAGGCAGCTTTGGCGGATGCTCACCGGAGGCTGGGCATTGCACGCCGAAGGACTCTCAGCATGGCATCGGCTGATGCAGACCTTGCGGGAATGTCCAAAACATTTTGTCCTTCTGGTCCCCCCGTGCCCTGGTTGGTCCAGCCAAATGTGCAAGCTGCCAGATAGAAACCGTGGCAGTACGTGCACACTTGCTGGGGCAATTGTTCACATGCTTAGCAGGTATTTCTAAATGATGCTGGATGTGTATGTGAGTGTGTGTGTCTGTGTGTCTGTGTGTTGCTTGCGTGTTTGCTTGGTTGGTTGGCTGGTTGGTTGGTTGGTTGGCTGGTTTGGTTGGTTGGTTAGTTAGCTGGCTGGCTGGTTGGTTGGCTGGCTGGCTGGCTGGCTATCTGGTTGGTTGGTTGGCTGGTTGGTTGCTGTGTGTCTGTGTGTGTTTGTTTGTTTGTGTGTGCTTTGCTTTGAGCGGTTTGTGTCGGTGTGTGTGTGTGTGTGTGCGCTTGTGCTTGCGCGCTAGCGTATTTGTATTTATGTGTGTTTATATGTCCGTGTTGTCTTTCTTTGCTGCTGCTGCTGCTGCTGCTTGTGTTGTGGTTGTTGCTGTTGCTGTGTTGGTGGTGGCGGTGGCGGTGGCGGTGGCGGTGGCGGTGGCGGTGGCGGTGGTGGTGGTGGTTTTGGTGGTGGTGGTGGTTTTGGTGGTAGTGGTGGTTTGGTGGTGGGGGTGGTGGTGGTGGTTTTGGTGGTGGTTTTGTTGGTGGTTTTGGTGGTGGTGGTGGTGGTGGTGGTGGTGGTGGTGGTGGTGGTTTATGCGGGGTGAAGGTGTCCGCAATTGTTTGTATTGGCGTGCTTGTGTTTTGTCCTGACCCCCCTGAATGTCCATGAATCTGCTGCGTTCCCGTTCCCTCTCTTGCCTGGAAGGTGCTTCCGAGGAGGCTGGAAGGGTGCAAGCGCCTCTGTGCAAGCTTACAGCGTGTCAAAGGATGTGTTTGCGGCCATTGGGCCACCAAATTGGACGTCAAGGGCATCTCAGACGGCGTTTCTTCATGGACATTGAGCAGGGATCGTTTGGCAAGTGTGACAACTGCCCTTCGCAGACTGTGTGACTTGCAAATAGGGAGTCACAGTGCTGCCTGGCAGTTGACATGTTTCCTCAGGGTCAGCCACTTCTTGACGATGCCGATGCCGAGGACTGCGTTTGCCGGCCAGATAAATGCTTGTTGGCTGCAGATCGGTAGACAATGATATCATCAATTGCATCAGTGGGGGGGCGTACATGCAGCAGATGCAGGAGGTTAAAATGCTGAGGTGACCTATGACAGCAAAGCTGCGCAGGTCCAGAAGAGAATAGGCCACTGGCCTTGAGCATGCAAAAGGATTGGAGAAAGGTGGAAGAAGTTTATGCGTGTTCGACTCAATCCTTTTGAGTGCTCATTCATCTCGGGGTGACCCGCGATCCCCGGGATTGTGAATGTAGTGTGCCACCAGTTTGCACTTTAGGATTGCGCTCCGTACATTACCCGTGCATGACTGGGTTCTTCGTCGGCAAGGACATGTTGGGACCTTGGCGACAGTCAAGTGTTAGATGCGCGCAGCATCGCACAAGACCAGCTGGACGTTGATTGCACAGCCCGGCTTGAAAAACATCATGGACGTAAGAGTTGCGATCGAAAACGACAGCTTAACACAAATAAACACACGATGCCCCCAATTCGGGCCATGTCCTCACCTGCCCACGCCCATTGGCTGAACAGCTCGAAGAGCTGAAAGCTGAGAATCAGTACAAATGCAAAGCGAGTTTGGGTCTGAACTAGCATAATGCACAAATGTCCCGCATGTCTCTCTTTACACATAGTTGTTTACTATTCTTTCTTGTCACGCTGGCCAATGTCTTTAAGAGTTGGAGGAAGTGGAAACAAAGATGCGGGCCTTGTTTAAGACCCAACCTCCCTGGATGTTTGCATGATGCATGGCTGGCATCCTGTAGGATGTGTGTCGAGAAATTGAGCAGGGTAGAGGTCAATGTGGCATACACTGTTGTTGGCTGTCTAGCGAGAGTCAGCAGCACAATGTATCACCGAGTGTTGCTCGTTTGTAGACATTCGACTCACGGGTGGCAGTTGCATCTTGTACAAAAGGGTGAGGAGCTGACGCATTGCAGCATAGTGCTGACAATGCTGACATGTGCCAGTCATGTCCAGAATCATAGCCACGTCAAATGCAAGCCCAGCGTGAAGTTGTTTTGGCTTATGCAGGACCTCCCACATGCGGTTCATTAAACTTACGTGCCAAACAGAATACCATGTTGCCCAGCTAGAAATACTCAGCTCGAGGCGAGGTGCTTCAAAGTTGGCAGAGATGCCTGTTGCACAGCGTGCTGAAGGTGCAAGCCAACTGCACAAAGGTTCACCAGGCTTTGCAAGCACCTCTGAAGTCCCATTCGAGTTTCAGTCAATAGGCATGCGAGAACAGGCATCCATCAGCCTAAGCCCAGAGAAAAAGCAAAAAAAAGAGAGATAGGTTGCAGCCTGAGCTCAAAGACCGGGCCATGGACGCTTTGCGCGGCGCTGTCATACTGGCCAGACATGCGTTCCAGGATACGCGCGGGCCAAGAGCTGTGGCCTGGAGCGTGGCAGCCACTCGACGGAGAGTGGATCTCTGGGTGCCGGTTTTTGTTCTTCTTTTTTATCTTTGTGTTTTTCTCACGGGTTGGTGCCACGCTAAACATCAAGTGGCAGCCACATGAAGCACCAACCAGCACAGTTCTGCTCACTGCTTGGTTTTTGCCGGGTTAGTGATGGTTCGCGTTGCGAGCATGCGCGCATAAGTCAGGAGAACCCAGCCTTCACGAAATCAAGTTACTTGCCAAGGTCGGTGTTCAAAGAAGAAGCAGACTTCACAAAGGCTAGGTCCAGCAGAGGTTCCGCCAGCCTAAGATGATTTTTGTTTGGAGGCCCAAGACTCCTACAATGCCTGACTGATTTATTCATGGTTTGGAGGCGGAGACGGGGGTTAGGGCCAATGTCCTTACTGAATGCGTAGCAGAAGGATTCCCGTTATAGGAAGGGTTCTGGGAGGCAACATATGTTCGCCGGATGTGTCAGCGTCTTCGCAAGCGTACGCACGCGTCTGAAGGGGAAATGTTGCCATGCCGTTCGCCACATGTTGCTTTTCATGGCGCCCGTGGGTAAATCACAGCTTTTGCCACGTTTCCTCGTGCAATCGGCCGGTTTTGGTGAGCTTCAAATTTGTCAAAATCGGTCGAAATCATTCTGGCGCCGCAGTCCCGTGCTAGTTTTGGATACGTGTGTCCGAAACGTGCCAGAGCCGGATGTGGCATTACGTTCACAGCATGTTTTGCTTTGTTTCAAGCTCAGTTCTCATGACAGGCGCCGCACTTTGAAGCACTTCGCACCGAAGCGCTGATTTGCGTGGCATGCGCAAAGCTAAAGTTTCGCGGCTAGATTGCGCGAAAGTAGCGCGCGAAGTGCGCTTATCCAGCTCCGCGCGAGGCGCATGAAAGAATGCAACTTCAGCTAGGCGGGTAGGTAGGTCGGTATTTGGAAAAGAGATAGACAGATCAAAGTCTGTTCTCTCTGTGTCTCTATGTCTCTGTGTCTTGGCGTGTTTGTGTTTGCAGGTGTGTGTGTGTGTGTGTGTTTCTTTGTCTGTGTGTGTGTGTTTCTCTGTGTGTGTGAGTTGTGTGTGTGTGTGTCTTTGTGTGCGCGCGTGTGCTTGTGCGTCTGTGTGTTTTTGTCTGTGTGTTTGCGTGTCTGATGTGTCGATGTGTAAATGTGTGTGTGTGTGTGCCGGTGTTTTTGTGTGTGTCGCTGTGTTTGTCTTCGTGTCCGTGTGTGTGTGTGTGGGTGTGGGTGTGGATGTGGGTGTGGGTGTGTGTGTGTGTGTGTGGTGTGTGGGTGTCTGTGTCTGTGTCTGTGTCTGTGTCTGTGTCTGTGTCTCTGTCTGTGTCTGTGTCTGTGTCTGCGTGTGTGTGTGTGTGTGTCTTGTTTTTGTTTTGTTTCTGTTTGCTCATTTCGTTGTGTCTGCGTGTCAAGGTGAGTGCCGCCTTCCAAGCTTCTCCAATTTCCCTTGCCCATCCGCAACATCACCAAATGAAAAGGAACAACATGTTTCAAGAGGATCACACCCAATAGGACAACTGATTTGGCCCAGCTGAGGTCTTCTTGCTACTTCTTGCTGAAGTCGCCACTGCTGGGCACTACAGCGTTGTACAAAAACATCTGATTACAGCCTTGCAGGCGAAAAATGCGCCAGTCTTCAAGAAGTCGCTGTGGCAGGTGGGTGGTATCATTCTCTTTATCAGTCCGATTATCGCATTGCGTGAATATGCGGCTGGAATGCTGGGGATGAACTGGCGCACATCCTTAACCACCCGCTTGGCCAGGCGCTACCTGACACCTCCCAAAGGGTCTGAGCGCCACCCATACTATGCTCTTACTCTGACTGGTGAGATCGACAACCCAGACCAACGGATTTGCCAGGACGTCGGTCACTTTGTGAACTCAGCTGTGTCCTTCACGCAAGATATGATAAGGACTGCACGAGTTTCAATGCTAGACCCAGCCTTGCAACCGCACGCGGTGTTTCTGTTCTTCTTTTCAATTGGGGCAGAAGTTGTAGACTCGAAGCCTTGCTCCCTGAGGACCACGCTCAGCGTCTTGACCTTTGCACCTGTCCTGTACTCCATCTCTCCCACAGCATGCCTTGGGGGGATTGCCTATGCAGTCACGGGTACTTTGGCTGCTTGACCAAAAGGCAAAGGAAAAGAAGCGAAAAAGAAGCAACTGTTTCACCCGAGGTGGTTTGTGATGACTGAGGTGTCGGCGCGCGGCTTTGGCATTTGGCTGGGTTTCTACAAAATGCAGAGCCTCCAGCAAGAAGCAACCCTACGCTACAAGCTCATCCGAGTGCGTGAGAATGCAGAGTCAATCGAGCCTTGATCGGTTTAAGTGCCGAAGCCAGATCCATGATTTGCTGCTCGTGCCCGGGATGTTACATTAGAACAGCACGACTGACAGCTTGTGTGCTTGTGAGTCTATAAGATTTTGAACATGCCAACAGTCCGGGTGGCAACAGATGCCAATCTCCGGGTTCAACAAAGCCCTTAGCGTTTACTTTGCCTGCAGTTCATTGATTTGTTTAACAATTCTCAGCAGCTAACTTTGGTTTTCAAGCGGACCAGCCACTGCACGCAAGGCATTTTTTGACGGAGGAGAAGCTGAATGGTCAAAATTCAAGACAGTGTCTGAGCTTGTTCGATCAACGTTTTCCAAATTGTGATCATGCCATTAGATTTTGCACACATCATTTCATTTGAAGTTAGTCATGTATGAATTTTGGCGCGGTGACAATCCCCACTGAGTCCTTCGACAGCTTGCTGCAGACGCTGCAGAAGACTGTCATGGTTGCAGTGGGCTATGGCATGCTGAATCGGAGCTTCCAGTGGGCTACCTTTGCCGTCACACCACTGCTGGTTGGACCCGCCTATTTAGAGGGCAAGGTGGAGTATGGTGTCATTGCACAGGCCTGTATCAGAGAGAGCCAGAGCATTTGATGAAAGACAGCCACCAAGTTTCAGGGTCCTAGTTCCCCAGCAACACCAACTTTTGGGGGTTCAACAAGTCTTCACTGGTCCCAGGATGGCAAATACGACCAAACCCTCGGGAGGCTTCCTGGAAAAAGTCAAGCCCACCCAAACTTGATGGCAGACACGGGCATAGTGTTTGTTGTTTGGAATGTGCTATCCCTGAGGTTGTTTGGCAGCGTTTCACCTCTTGACCTCTTGGCCAGGCAACGATGGCATTCAATATCATCCTCGAGGCGGGGGTGGAAGCTTTTTTTTTTTTTGTTAACGCCTCCATAAACCTGAAACCAGAGGTTGAGGGGTCTTTCTGCTGGATGAATCCAAAGTCAAATCATGAGCGACAATTCTAGTCTGAAAAGACAGGCTACTTTCTTCCAAAGTCCGCGTCTATGTTGTTGCTGGAAGGCCTTGGGGTGGCTTTGCATGCCCAACATATTTTAGTGCCTCCGGCTCAGGCCGCCGACATTACAGGCCTGCTTTCTTATTTGCGTCCCTTTGGAATTGTCCCCTTGCCCCCTTCCCCTCTGAGATTTTTGCCCCCCTTTCTTTGTTGAGATCCATTCCCCCTTTCCGCCCTAAGGCCTTTTCTCCCTCTGTTTTTTCCCTTTTCCTCCCTAAGATGTTTTCACCCCTCTCCCTGTTGAGATCCTTTCCCCCCTTTCCCCCCTAAGGCCTTTTCCCCCCTGAGATCTTCTCCCTTTGCCTCCCTAAGATCTCCCAGATCGTCTCCCTTTCCTCCCTAAGATCTTCCCCCCCCTTTCCTCCTTAAGATCTTTCCCACCCTTTCCCTGTTGAGATCCTTTCCCCCCTTTCCCTCCCAAGGCCTTCCCCCCCCCCCATGAGAGCTTCTCCCTGTTCCTTCCTAAGATCTTTTCCCCCCTTTCCCTGTTGGGCTTCCCCCCCTAAGTCCTTTTCTCCCAGATCTTCTCCCTTTCCTCCCTAAGATCTTCCCCCCCCCTTTCCTTCCTAAGATTGTTTCCCCCCTTTCCCTGTTGAGATCCTTCCCACCCTTTCCCCCTGAGGCCTTTCCCCCCTGAGAGCTTCTCCTTCCTTAGATCTTTCCCCCCTGTCCCTGTTGGCCTTTTTTCCCCCAGATCTTCTCCCTTTCCTCCCTAAGATCTTTTCCACCCCTTTCCCTGTTGAGATCATTTCTCCCCTTTCCCCCCTAAGGCCTTTGCCCCCAGATCTTCTCCCTTTCCTCCCTAAGATCTTTCCCCCCCTTTCCCTGCTCAGATCCTTTCCCCCCTTTCCCCCCTAAGGCCTTTCCCCCCCTGAGATCTTCTCCCTTTTCCTCCCTAAGATCTTTTGCCATTTTTCCCTGTTGAGATCCATTCCCCCTTTCCCCCCTAAGGCCCTTTCTCCCTCTGAGTTTTTCCCTTTTCCTCCCCACGATGTTTTCCCCCCTCTCCCTGTTGAGATCCTTTCCCTCCTTTCCCCCCTAAGGCCTTTTTTCCCCCTGCGATCTTCCCCCTTTTCCTTCCTAAGATCTTTTCCCCCCTTTCCTTGTTGAGATCCTTTCCCGCCCTTTCCCCCCTAAGGCGTTTTCCCCCCCAAGATCTTCTCCCTTTTCCTCCCTAAGATCCTTTGCCCCCTTTCCCTGTTGAGATCCTTTCCCCCCTTTCCCCCCTAAGGCCCCCCCCCTGAGATCTTCTCCCTTGTCCTCCCCAAGATCTTTTCCCCCGAGATCTTCTCCCTTTTCCTCCCTAGGATCTTCTCCCACCTTTCCCTGTTGAGCTCCTTTCCCCCTTTTCCCCCTAAGGCCTTTTCAGATCTTCTCCCTTTTCCTCCCTAAAATCCTTTGCCCCCTGTCCCTGTTGAGATCCTTTCCCCCTTTCCCCCCCAAGGCCTTTTCCCTGCCTGGGACCTTCTCCCTTTTTCACTGAGATCTTTCCCCCCCTTTCCCTGTTGAGATCCTTTCCCCTGTTTCCCCCCTACGGCCTTTCCCCCCGCTGAGATCTTCTTCCTATTCCTCCCCCCTTCCCTTTAAGGCCTTTCCAGATCTTCTCCCTTTCCTTCCTAAGATTCTTTCCCCCCTTTCCCTGTTGAGATCCTTCCCACCCTTTCCCCCTCAGGCCTTTCCCACCTGAGAGCTTCTCCCTTTTCCTTCCTTAGGTCTTTCCCCCCTTTCCCTGTTGGCCTTTTTTCTCCCAGATCTTCTCCCTTTCCGCCCTAAGATCTTTTCCACCCCTTTCCCTGTTGAGATCATTTCTCCCCTTTCCCCCCTAAGGCCTTTGTCCCCAGATCTTCTCCCTTTCCTCCCTAAGATCTTCCCCCCCCCCCTTTCCCTGCTGAGATCCTTTTCCCCCTTTCCCCCCTAAGGCCTTTCCCCCCCCTGAGAGCTTCTCCCTTTTCCTTCCTAAATCTTTTCCCCCCTTTCCCTGTTGGGCTTTCCCCCCTAAGTCCTTTTCTCCCAGATCTTCTCCCTTTCCTCCCTAAGATCTTCCCCCCCCCCTTTCCTCCCTAAGATCTTTCCCACCCTTTCCCTGTTGAGATCCTTTCCCCCCTTTCCCTCCCAAGGCCTTTCCCCCCCTGAGAGCTTCTCGCTTTTCCTTCCTAAGATCTTTTCCCCCCTTTCCCTGTTGGCCTTTTTTCCCCAGATCTTCTCCCTTTCCTCCCGAAGATCTTTTCCACCCCTTGCCCTGTTGAGATCATTTCTCCCCTTTCCCCCCTAAGGCCTTTTTGCCCCAGATCTTCTGCCTTTCCTCCCTAAGATCTTTCCCCCCCCCCCAGTTCCTTGTTGAGATCATTTATTTCCCCCCTTTTCCTTCTAAGGCCTTTTCCCACCCTCAGTTCTTCTCCCTTTTCCTCCCAAAGATCTTTCCCCCCCTTTCCTCCCTAAGTCCTTTTCCCTGAGTTCGTCTCCCTTTGCCTCCCTAAGATCTCTTCCCCCCTTTCCCGCTTAAGATCCTTGCCCCCGTTTCCCCCCTAAGGCCTTTTCCCCCCAAGATCTCCACCCTTCTCTTCCCAAAGTTTTTTTCTCTCTTTCCCGATTGAGATCCTGTCCCCCGATTGCCCCTTAGGGCCTGTTCCCCCCGAGAAAGATTTCCCTTTTCCTCCCAAAGATCTTTTCCCCCCTTTCCCCCTTAAGGCATTTTTTCCCCAGATCTTCTCCCTTTCCTCCCGGAGATCTTTCCCCCCCTTTCGCTGTTGAGATCCTTTCCCCCTTTCCCCCCTTCATTTCCTTCACCAGCATAGGCAACATCCCCAGCATCACTTGCATCATCCGCATCCTTGGCAGGCGCTGATGCGGATGATGCAGGTGATGCTGGCGATGTGCCGCTGGAGCTGCTAAGGATGCAAGCGCACCCGGGGGAATCGAACACCCCAATGTTTTTGACAAACTGAGTTGCGCAAGCCCGCGCAATGAACAGATTTAGTGAAGCGTCTTCGAAGCACCGCGTGGTACGTGGACCCCCCCCCCGCAATAGTCTGAAATGCTGCCCCTGGGGGGGGGTTGGGGGAGGGGTAACAGGTAAAGAGGTAAGGAGCATTTGTTAATATGTCCAACACGCCGCCTGTTGTCGGCGGATTCAAGGGCTTCGCCCTACACCAGCTGCATTGGCAAGACAGACAAAGACAGAGACAGCTGACAAGATCGCCGCGTGCGACCTCTTGCCAAAGATAGCTCATGCAAACAGGACAACGTACAGAAACGGCCCAAAAGCGTAAGCGTAAATCTTGTCATCACCGGCTCCGGGCCCGCCTCCCTGAAATCTTGCTCGCCATGTCCGTCGCCGTTCGCTCCACTTGTCCAGTGGAGTGCTCCGTGTGGACATTTTGCTAGTTGACAACCATACTCAGTTCGGTTTGCACTTCTTTTTCCGGCAAGAGATCCTCAGAATGCTGTGCTGCGGGTGCAGCAACAATTTACTCCCGCATCACCCGCATCGTCACCAACTTGCAACCACTTTGTCAGCCTGTTGCCTGTCTTTGAAACAACATCCTGCCATTCCTCATGCCTGACTGTAAAAAGTTTATGTTGAGACGAGCCCCTTTCAGTGCAGAGGGGTGCGATTGAGTACCCGGGCTCCTCGACAATGGTGGCAAGCGGTGGGGCGTTGCACTAGAGGGCATGCTGTAATACTAGCGATGCAGGAGAAATATGGGGAGGACTACGGTTGCGCCAACCGTGGTTCTGCTTATTTTGAGTAGAGCAGCCTAAGCGGCCCTTAGTTTCGCGCCCGAAGGCCCATGGTAACAGAAGGCTGCGGAGAAACTGGCGTATCCTACGAGCAGAACTCCCCAACACCTCAATTACCTGCTCCAATAGCGATATGCCCCTCTGCGAAATCCCGCTAGCATCTGCTCCCAAACGGGGACTTTTGGCGGAGTGCCCAACATCACGTCTGCCGCAGGGGTCGGCAGAGTATGAAGACCCGAGCGCAACGTCGCAACGCCCACATGGCTTGTTAGCCAATGTCAAGATATCAGAGACTTCCGCGTTTTTTGGGTAGGCCTGTACGCTGGTGATGCAGCGCCTGGAGTCCTTAAGTGACATCTCCGTGCGCATCCGGCGGCTGGCTGCGCTGGACCAAGCCCTGGAGCCCACGCAGCGTGAGCCTGGCATCTCTCGGCGACAAGCGCACATGCTGAGGTTCCAAGGCGCGGCGCGCGCATTCGTCGTGGTTGTGCCACTGGTTTTGGTCGATCGCTGGCGTTGTCCGTCTTTAGCAGCGGTGCGACTTGAGAGAGAACAGTGACGGTACGCCAGCTCAGGTGTCAGCTTGCAGACGCCCCGCAGTGATGTGTGCCAGGCCGATCATGCCGTGCGTATATTTCGAGCAGGCGTTCTGATGTTGAAGCGGAAGGGTTTTTTGCATGCTTAAGCGCCACTTGTCGCAAGAGCTCTCAGACAAACGGGGCCTGCCAAGCAAGCCGTCCAAAATCACAGTGACAAAGGGCTGGTCAACCCGTAAGAACATGAATTCCAGGCCCCCTTGAAAGGAACCATCCGCTTTCAGGTGCTCTTTGAGAACGTGTCCTTTGAGGTCCCCGAAGGGCAGTCTCTGCTCGTGGTGGGAGAGAGCGGCATTGGCAAGAGCTCCTTGCTGCGAGCTGCAGCTGGGCTCTGGGTCAAGGGCTGCGGGACCATTGAGCTGTGTGACAGGCACTCTGTGTGCCTTGGCAAAACATGGATTGCGAGCTCTTAGTTTGTTTTTGTGTTTTGCTTATGTATGTATACACATGTTGACTTGACCGAACTTGAACACTTGGTCGCACATATTTCTCAACAGTCTGTGCAGCTGAGGTTTTTCATGCCTCAGAAGCCGTACATGTTCTTGGGCTCACTCAAGGAGCAGCTGCTGTACCCTCACGCGGATGACGTGCGTCCAGATGCTGACGTTGAAGAAGCCCTACGACAAGTACACTTGCAAGACTTGTTGGACCGCCATAACCTTTCAGACACCAAAGACTGGGCAAGCCTATTGTCGCTAGGTCAGCAACAGCGTATCAACTTCGCCCGCGTCTTGTTACGCCCGAGTATTCAATTTGCGCTCATGGACGAGTGCACTTCAGCCTGCGATCCAGAAAATGAGATGCTTCTGTACCAGCTCTTGAGGCAGAGACTCCGCAGCTATGTCTCGGTGGGCCATAGACCTTCGCTTCAAAACTTTCACAGTCACGCGCTGTGGCTTCGCAGGTCGGCGTTTGGGCCTGCTGAGGTGACAATGCATTCGATGGTTGAGTACCAAATGATGAAAAAGAGCATTCAGCAGCTGTCAGCATCATTGATAATTTTCTTGTCTAAGTGTTTGTAGCGAACAATCGAATCTTATGTCTTGCGGTCAGATGAACCTAGGATATTTCTAAATAAAGCCTGCCGGAAATTGACATTGATATATAATTGATTTTACATATGTATGTTTGAAGGCATATTGGTATTGGGATTGATCTTTTAGGTTTATTTTAGATACTTGGAATAGGGGTTATTGGGGATGTGGTTAGGAGATGAATAAAGCAAAGGGAGATAACAATTATAATAATATAATTGAGTTAATAATATATTAACAAAAAAAGTATATTGATTATTTTATAAAATATAATATATAATTTGAATTAATATTTTATTAATTTAAAATATATTAGGATTTAATTAAGAAATTATTATTATTATTAATTTAATAATATATATTGATGGGAATAATATTTGATAATTTAAGGATAACTAAAAATATATATTTAGAAATATATAGAATTTTGATGGAATTTTTATAAAATCGTATCGAATTAAATATTAAGATTGTATTGAATGATTTTAATAATGATATGGTATTATTATTAATTTTTTAAAATATATGTTTTAATTATATTAAATTGTATATATTAAATTTTATTATAGATAATATTTAATAAGTATAGATATTTATAAATAATATTTAACTATTTAATAAATTATTATAAACAATAATATATATTTGATATTATTTCTGTATTTTTAAAATATTTAAATTTGAAATAATTTAATTTATATAATTTAAAATATAATATGTTAATACTTACTCTTAAATATTATATAAACCAAAACATAATATTCTCTAAGTTATATTAAATTATATTTTTTTTATGTTTTTAATACAATATATTTTTTTTTTTTTTTTTTTTTTTTTTTTCAAATTTATATTATATATCTTATTTAATATTAACTTACTCATAAAATTTAATCTACATAATATTGATTTCAAATCAATGAATATAACAAATAAACAATCAATTAAACAAATACACAAACAAAAAACAAATAAACAGATAGAGACAAATTAAAGACAAAATCAAAAACAATGACAAACACAGACATAGACACACAAACACAGACATAGATACACAGACATAAATACACAGACACAAACACAGACACACAAACACATACACACAGATATACAAGAAAAACAGACATAGACACAGACAGACAGAAATAAATAGATAGACAGAGAGACAGAGAGACAGAGAGACAGAGAGACAGAGAGACAGAGAGACAGAGAGACAGAGAGACAGAGAGACAGAGAGACACAGAGACACAGAGACACAGAGACACAGAGACACAAACAGACTTAGACACAGATATAGACACAGACACAGACACAGACATAGACACAGACAGACACAGACAGACACAGACAGACACAGACAGACACAGACACAGACAGGCATAGACATAGACAGACATAGACAGACATAGACAGACATAAACAGACATAGACAGACATAGACAGATATAGACAGACATAGACAGATATAGATAGACAGACAGACAAAGAAATAGATATTAGAAATAGAGAGACCAATAGATAAAGAAAGACAGAGAAAGACACCGACAAAAAGATAGAGACAAAAAGAGACACACCTCCGGCGCGCAACGCGTCGGATTCTGATGTCAACATGCCACAGGCTTCGCCTGCGCAAATGCATGCGTTCGATTCCGAGCCCGAGAGCCGTGATGCAGACGGGCTGCAAGAATGTACGTGCGAACTCTCGATTGCGTATGCCCCAATTGTACGCGGCCGCTGGCCGCTTGTCGCGAGCTAATGGGAAATATAGGACTGGGTATCCCGGGTTGCTACCGGCCCGGTTTGGATTAGTAGTTTGGATTGGTATTTTGGAGGTTAGGAGATGGTTTCCCATTTAATTTCAATATAATTTAGGGATTTAATTCCCAAACCACCAATCTAAACTAGTAATTACGGATACGTTGAAACGGGTGCTAAAAAAACGACCAAGCTCTCAAGGGGCGAAGGCCCAGATCTTACAGAGCCCGTGCCAATAAGGTATCTTTTGTAACTCAAGCACCAATATGTTTTATTCTCATATATATCAAAAAATATATATTCGTCGGATGCGAAAAACATATTTGCTCCAAGCGCAAAACCGCGAGACCGCACTAAGGGCAGGGCTAATCGCAATAAGGTCATACCAAAGAGTCAGTGAAAGGCGATCGCCTAAGCAAGGTAAAAACGGATCCGTAAGTTATTAGCCTCAAAAAATCATCCACATATATAAATATTGCAAGCGAAAACGCCATCGACCAAAATCGAATCAATTTCGCCTAAAATATAAGGAAACAAATATCATAACAATCAGCCGCAGCTCATAATTTCTCATACCGCCAAATTCTCGAAAAATAAGCCAAGATTTCAACCAAAATTATCATGAACAAGCAGATATTTATCCCAACTCTTTATCTAAAAAATACAACTAAAATGATTTAACAATTTCGTTCAAAACCCAAATCATTTTTGCAAAATATCCCAAATATTTCGATAATCATATTCCAAACCATTTTTCCAAAATATTCCGAATATTTCAACAATATTTCCCAAAAAAAATTAAAATATTTAAAGAAAAAATATCCAATATTTTTCGGAAAAATACTACAAAACAACACACAAACAACACGAAATAACATATAAACAACACAATATAATACAAAAAATTACTAAACAACACAAAAACAATACAAAATAATACATTCAAATAATAATAATTTATAATAATTCAATATCTTCAAAAAACAAAAAAACAAAAAAACAAATACACAATAACACAAAAACAACACACACATAATACGCAAATAACACACAAATAACACACACTTATAAAATATATATATTACCACTCCTTACTATCGATATCCCTATTACAACAGCTCCCAATTATAAACAACAATTAACAACAATTAAATTTTAATCTTCCCTTAAATAAAATAATTAATAATCGAAGAATACTAATATAAAATCAAATTAGATTTTTATAATACATATTTCTAACTATATCATATAATATATATATATATATATATCAATATTATATATATTAAAATATCATGGGTTGCTCTTGGTGTGCAAAGCATATTCTTGCCTTGTGCGACTTTTGACTTGGGCATCGTGCGATTTTCTGGACATCTGCCTGTATCATGAAATCTGTTTAACAAGTGATGCGCGCTTTCACTCGTTTTCTCACTTTTGAAATCACAATCCCCGCGCTCTGATTAACCTTAGTCAGCCAGGGCGCATCAAAATCCGCCGACATTGCTCGGCGTGTCGGATACCTAAGAGAGGATAGAGGATAACCCCCCCCCCAAACCCCCCCCCGCCCGACGTCTATTACGTAGGTTTTTGGGGGGGGGGGGGTCCCCCACGTACCGCGCGGCAATTTGATGACGTTCCACTAAACGTAGTCTTCGGGGAGCCGGTGTCGCAAAACAGGGGTCCCAGGCTCGATTCCCCCTGCCGGCTTTTTTGCTGGCTTGGGCTTCCTGCATCCTTTTGCCGAAAATCTGGCAAAACTCTGTGTTTTTGGACATCCTCTTTGCGAAAACGCTAGAAAAACCGTGTATTTTGCGGGAAATACTGGGGAGCCAAGGGGAAGTGCAAGGATACATACATACATGCATACAGACATACATACAGACAGACAGACAGACCTACATACATACATACATTACATGCATACATACATACATACTTACATTACATTACATTACATTACATTACATTACATTACATTACATTACATTACATTACATTACATTACATTACATTACATTACATTACATTACATTACATTACATTACATACATTACATTACATACATACATACATACATTACATACATACATACATACATACATACATACATACATACATACATACATACATACATACATACATACATACATACATACATACATACATACATACATACATACATACATACATACATACATACATACATACATACATACATAACATACATAACATAACATACATAACATAACATAACATAACATAACATAACATAACACATAACATACATACATACATACATACATACATACATACATACATACATACATACATACATACATACATACATACATACATACATACATACATACATACATACATACATACATACATACATACATACATACATACATACATACATACATACATACATACATACATACATACATACATACATACATACATTACATAACATACATACATACATAACATACATACATACATACATACATACATACATTACATACATACATACATACATACATACATACATACATACATACATACATACATACATACATACATACATACATACATACATACATACATACATACATACATACATACATACATACATTACATTACATTACATACATACATTACATTACATTACATTACATTACATTACATTACATTACATTACATTACATTACATTACATTACACATTACATTACATTACATTACATTACATTACATTACATTACATTACATTACATTACATTACATTACATTACATTACATTACATTACATTACATTACATTACATACATACATACATACATACATACATACATACATACATACATACATACATACATACATACATACATACATACATACATACATACATACATACATACATACATACATACATACATACATACATACATACATACATACATACATACATTACATTACATTACATTACATACATACATACATACATACATACATACATACATACATACATACATACATACATACATACATACATACATACATACATACATACATACATACATACATACATACATACATACATACATACATACATACATACATACATACATACATACATACATACATACATACATACATACATACATACATACATACATACATACATACATACATACATACATACATACATACATACATACATACATACATACATACATACATACATACATACATACATACATACATACATACATACATACATACATACATACATACATACATACATACATACATACATACATACATACATACATACATACATACATTACATACATACATACATACATACATACATACATACATACATACATACATACATACATACATACATACATACATACATACATACATACATACATACATACATACATGCATACATACATACATACATACATACATACATTACATACATACATACATACATACATACATACATACATACATACATACATACATACATACATACATACATACATACATACATACATACATACATACATACATACATACATACATACATACATACATACATACATACATACATACATACATTACATACATACATACATACATACATACATACATACATGCATACATACATACATACATACATACATACATACATACATACATACATACATACATACATACATACATACATACATACATTACATACATACATACATACATACATACATACATACATACATACATACATACATACATACATACATACATACATACATACATACATACATACATATATACATGCAGAGAGAGGGAGACTGGGGAGAGAGTGGCTTCGGGGGATGGGGAGGATGGGGAGCGGAGGGAGGGAGAAAGGACGACAGAACACACCAGGGAGACAAGGGAGAGAGGAAGAAGGAGAAAAGGGAGAGGACAATGTCGGCGGACTGAGCCGGAGGCTCTAAAGTTGTTATTTCGGCCATAATCAAGACATGGCACTGCAAGATACCATTGGCGTGAGCAGCACCCACCTTGGTGTCCCACGAGCAAAAGTTCAATCGACTGGCACGTGTAGATCAGGCAAGGCGCCACCAAGACCACACGCTGGCATGCTGACCTTGATTGCACCTGCACGCGGCGCATCTAAGCTCTTGCTATGGAATTCAATGTTGGGAATTCTACTTCCATGCTGACATGCGCACTGTGAAACGCCGTGCCTGGGATGCCATGCTGACATACATCGCCTTGCGCCAGGTTCTCCGTGAATGCTCGCAGGAGACTGTACGGTTTCGGCGCAAGACTTATGGCCCAGCCTCATCCCTCGAAGCCACGATGGCGCTGTAGACGCAGGGGATCAAATACATTTCGATGGCCAGCAGGATGTCTGAGAGCACAGCCTCACGATTCACAACGGCTGCATTGGCTTGTTCACTGCAATGCCCCTGCCTGGCGGTCTTCAGGCTTCACCACGCCGGCGCCCTGGCTCGATGCGATCGATGTTCGCGATGATTTGACGAAGTAAAAGGCTTTTGAACCAGCTTGTCAACACCCATCAACGCCCTCTTTTATGCTTAAGCCTTGCAGTGTCACATGTGACCGCTGCCGGTCTAAAACCGCAGGTTAGCATATCGTGGGAAGAATTCTCGTCGATGGACAGCCCGGGCCCTGAAAGAATCCCTGTCAGCCTCAGTGAACACAGTGCGTTCTCGGATCATTCCAAACTTAAACTTGGTCCAGTTTGTCAGCATGGGAGCTGTGTCGAACACTCAGCGCAACACACTCAACATAGCTGAACTTACTCGACAGGCCCATTAAAAAAGGTAACTATGGGGTCAAAAATTACACCAGGCAGGGACAGCAAGTTTTAGTCCATTCCACCTACCAGGGCAAGCCATTTCGGGGTTACCCTCTTGCCCCAAAGTTGCCTCGGCCGCACCCTCAGCTCCGCTGCTGAGCAGCAGCAGCAGTCCAGCCACCAAGCACCCGGCGCAGGTGGCGGCCAGCAAGAAGCTCAGCCAAATGCCGATCCTGTCATAGGCCGTGTGGAAAAATCGATGGCCCTGGTGAATGGAATAAACCTCATCTAAACCAAGGCCCTCTATGCTCAAGCAACCCAACCAAAAAGAACATGGATCCTGTTCGCAACGCGTGGCCAAAGCGGGCTTCGAGCTTCCGAGCGTTTCGAACGGCCTGGGCCGAAACTACTTTGAATGCCAGTTGAGAGAGTTGGACTCCGTCATGAAGCGCCCCCCAAAAAACAAGATCATTCCTTCTCACAGCATCCTGAAGCTCGCGAAGTGCAACAGGGAGCTGCCCAGCACATCAAGGTCGCTTCGCTTGGGGAAGCAAACGCGGAACACCTCAGGCAAGATGCGAGGTCGTGCTCGCAAATATATATATATATATATATACATACATATTATGTGTATATATATGTATATATATATATATATGTAGTACCTGCACAGTAAACACAAATTAGCCCGTGCCACGCAAGCAAGCCCAACTTTTTGAACAACTGAACAATGTGATGGGGCGGGATACGATGTGGTCTCTGTCGATTTGTTTGTAAAACGCGCATAAATGGCACAGCACTCTTGCGCTGATCCGTTGGCTGCCGGAGGACCTAGCTTATCTTCACTGGTTGTTGGCCACCAAAAGGGCTCTCGCTCGTCCGTGCTGAGAAGATGTAGTACTCCTTGCACAAGTTCCTCATGGGTACATTCAGTACACTTACACGTAACCCTGAAGCATATACTGGCTCTGAGAGACCGAGGAAAAACTCGCACTTTATTTTACAAAGGACATCCTGAAAAAGCATACACGACAACGCGCCCCAATGCGCATGCAACACTTGCAACATCTTGGCATCCCCAAACATGCCGGTCTTCCAATCATAGCCAGCGTTTGCCTGTTTGACTGAAATGAACAGCCTCCCTTGCAAAGGGTCTCTACACTACCAGGGGAGCTGCTTATTTATCCCACCAGTGGCAAACCATGCTCGTGGTGTGAAGGTCATCCTTTGCCTTTGCGTCACCGTTTCGACTTAGCCTCCCATCCACTAACATGGAATCTGAGTCCTGGAAGACTGGAAGACCAACTTCCTCCAAAAAGGGGACCCTCTGGGTTCCATGTTAGTGGAGAGGAGGGTATGGATGCCCCTGTACTGTAAATAATACCAACAAACAATGGTGTCCCATGGTTTCAAAGTGGTGCGAACTGGATTTCCTCCATCCACAGTATGACGGATTTCCACGCTGGACATTTCCCTCCCGAGGCGCGCAGCGGGGCGCGCTGAGCCACGCGAGCAGCGCCCGCAGCAGGTTCCGCGGCCAAGGCGCCGCCGTGGCAGCGAAGCGGCTGCAGAGCCGGTCCTAAAGTGGATATGTGGGTCAAAAAAACGGTACCCACAATGGCTTGCCCTGGTAAATGGGGAACATATGAACCAAAACCTGCAGTGAGATTCCTGGTGGTTTAATTTTGACCCATACCCAAGTGGATTCGCGATTTTTCTCAGAGAACAAATTAACTGGCATCCTCACCACTGAAATGACATCCTGAAAAACATCGTCAGCAATGAACTTGACATCCTCACAATTTAGATTTGACGCCTTGGCACATCTGTGGTGCTTTGAAGGGACATCACAAAATGGATCTGTGGGATCCATCGTGGCATTCGGCCGAGGTGCCGTGTCCAGGTCCACGCAGCAGCATGGCACCCCCAGCCGCAGGGCCTCACGCTCCGCCGCCAGGAACTCGTCGCCCGCATCCACTTTGAAGCACTCGATGATGCCGTAGAGGAGCCAAATCCCCGACAAGGCGAAGGCGAACTCCTGCGCCGAAGGCAAGGACTGGACCCAGGGGTGGCAATGATTGCGAGGTGTGTCGCTGCAGTTTTCTGCATGGCCAGGGAAGCCATTTCCGGGAAAGCTTCTGGAAGTCTAAGGGATTCTGTGACTGGGTGGCTAGCAGTGGAGTGGCACAGTGCGCGGCGAAACTGCCTCCGCTTGACACAACCGGCCTACCTGTCAGCCCTGTTGATCTCTGCTCCTGGCACAAGCGTCGCCGAGGCGTGCGCCGCGGGAAGGTGTCCGCCAGCACCTGGAAGGAGCCTTGCACCTGGCGCAACGCTGCGCTCAGCGTGTGCAGTTTGGGCGAGTGCATACGTTATCTTTGGACAAGTAGGTGAGGAAGCATTTTCTCCAGACCCTTCAGCCAAAGGTGCAAACGTCCGGCTCAGATTTTGCCTGGCCCTGTCCAGCTCTGGACACAAGACACGTTTCCAGGCCACAAGTAGCTCAGGTAGGCCGAGGGCAAATAGCTTCTGGGGCAACGTGCGAAGGTTTTGGGGGTTCAGCCGACAAACGACGCGTTCAATTGAAACTGGTGCCTCGCTGGTTTGGAGTAGATCCATCAGCTCACTGCTGGGCAGAAGCAAAGCTGGAATGGGTGGGAAGCCTAGGCCAGGACAGGCCAGCGATGTTCAAGCATGGAAATCAAGATGTTCAGGACTCGCTCGCTGATCATCTGCAACTACGGGTTTCCTTGAGGCGAAGCTTGCTCTTCTATCTCAAGTTGGTTTGCTCTACACCGCAGGAAGCAATTTTCCGTGATCCAAGCACCCGCAGCTCATCACACTTGCACGGAGAATGCCGACGTGTTGACGGGTCTTGTAAAACTTTCCACACACGCTCCTTCCAACACCATCGGCTTCTACACCATGCGTTGGCAACGTCATACAAAGCCAATCTGAAGGTTCTTTGCAACATGGCCATGAATTTTACCAGCACCTCAAAAAGTGATTGGTGGACACGAATCCCAACCTAAATGATGTCCACCATAGGGCCCCTTATTAAAATTCATACCCACATTGGAACCAACACGTCCACTGGCCCGATGGACCGCCAAAGCACCGCTGTTGCGCACTTCCATCGCCACCCGCAGCTCTGTCAGCAAGGTCTCGGTACCCAGGCGTCCTGCTGGAGCAAAGCAGCAACCGCTACAAAGGAGTCATCTCTCTCTCTCTCTATCTATCTACCTATCTATCCATCTATCTACCTATCCATCTACCTATCTATCTACCTATCTATCGATCTATCTACCTACCTATCTACCTATCTACCTACCTGTCTATCTATTTATCTATCTATAGACATATGCTACCCTGAATGTTCAGTGTTTGCAGCTAAATCTAGTATTGTCAAGACTTAGTCATACTGTAACCTTAGGGATTGGATAAAACCACCCTTCAAAAGTGAAACGCTTCGATCTGCAAATTGCTCCTCAAAATTGACTTGCCGGTCATTAAGGAGTGAACCAAAAGGGTCGGATTAGAAAGAGTCAGGGGCTATTTTGTTGTATCCCTTTACTTACTTTGGTCTTGTCAAAACGTAGCAAATCTAACTTTGTATTGCCAAAACTGGGTCTACAATTCCCACCACTTGATGTAGTATTCCCAATTCTAACTCTAGCCTTGCCAAGACTTAGTCTTAGCTCTTGAGCTAGCAAGGGCCTAGATCAACCAAACAGTCAGATTAAAGAGCCAAGAACCACAGGAAAAAAAACAAATCACCACGAAGCAAGGGAAAAGCTACCTTTCCCTCAGGGACTCAGGTTTTTTTGCTCTTTCGCATTTTGTGGTTTTGCTTTGTTGGCCCTTCTTTGCTTCAAAACCCCAACGCCCCCAAAAGGCAGATAACACCGCAAATACCAGTGACTTCTCTCGAAAGGTAGGCTTTCGGTCTTTGTTGTTTTGAGGGAGGGCTCCACGTCATGGCTGCTCTTCTGAGTATATCTTTCTTGGCAGGCTATCCATTTGGGGCTCCAGGAAGGCACATTTCGCACCCACCGACTCCTGCAGGCAGGCGCTCGCCCTGCAGCAGCACCGCGCGCGCCCCGCGCTGTGCGGCCTGGAAGGCCCGCAGCGCCAGAGGCGCCGCGTCGGGGCGCGAAAGCGCCAGGCAGCCGGGACTGGGCGGCGTCGAAACGATGCGGCACTTGGCAAAGTGTGAGGGACATGGCTCAACTGGGTTGGCCTTTGGGTTGGGGCCAGTATTTTTTTCGCCAATTTCCCATCTTTACTGTTTTTCAAGTGGGCTGAAGCAAATGAAGCTGAGCTTGGATGTTACCGGAAATGCAGGAGCCAACTCTGAAATTAGACAGGAGAAAACATCACACCGACAAGATAATACACAATTCACGTCAGCTATAGCTAGCGCCCAAGTTCGGCATTGTTGTCTATTTTGTCTATGTTATCGCCGAAATCTGTGATCTGATTCAACCTAATTTAAACAAACAAAGACACACTCTCACGCTCATTGTGCAAGTGGATTTCCGCTGATTGGCTGGTTCACCGCTGTCGCATGATTGATTCAATGACTCTGACATCAAACCCATTCAGGCTTCTATTCAGTTCTTTCCCCGGTTGACTCAAAACCACCCAATTTGACTGCCGGGTTGCCCAGGCTTGTCACCACGAGCATATTTCAAGCCGCACGCACGAGGGGTCTCTTCAATGAGGCCCGCTGACTCACGGCACGGCGATGGCCTAATCTCAGACGAGTTTCGGCAGCTCCTGGCCTTCATCCAAGACGATGGGCCCCGTAACGCTCTCCCCGGCATACTCCCCGTTCCAGTGTGCCCGCTGCGCCCATAAACTCACTGTGGAGTCCCCCGAGGTGTACTGAAAGGCCTGAAAGCCGAAACAAAACAAACTGAGCAGGAGAAACATATGGTGCGCCCACACACTTGGGGAACCATAGCAAGTACAGCTGCAGGCCTTGACTGACTCTCTTTGGTTTCTGCAATCATATCTATTCGATAGGGAGCGACATGGACTAGTGAATCTTCCGAGAATAGGTTGCTTGAGTCCAAGGCTGCAATCAGCGGTGTTCTGTTTGCATGTTAAATCTCTTCTAACTTGATCTGTTTCGTCATGCACATTGAAACCATATGGCTTGCGTGCAGTGGGCCACGGAATCGCATCATGAACCATGTGTCCTCGAACATCACCCAAATAAGGCTCCATCGTTTGTGCGGAAGCCGCCCTGCCTGCAAGGTTGGCCTCGACGGCCCTCGCATGAATTCCAGGCGTTCCTCATCCAGCTCGATCATCACTGCATCCGGGCGCACGGCGCCGATGGTCGCAATGACGTCACGCTCTGACCTGACAGCCGCTTCCAAGCTGTGACCTCTCAAGCGAAAATGTTTGACTCAATTGTCGGGGAACATACATGGAATCCGTCAAAACCAAGGAGAACCGTCGCATCGACGTTTCAAATGCAGCCGAACCACCGGGGAGAGACATGCAGTGTTGAAACGATAAAGACCTCCTTGCCATTGGCTACAGCATGGCCGCAGGTGTATGGAACTCCAGCTTGTGTCTGGTTCGTGCGCACGCGCCACAAGCGCCACCCAATCATGGCCAGCAGCAAACTAATCGCCAGCACACAGTACAGCTCTGTGGAATTCCAGCTGGACAAAAGGTAAACAAATAGGATCGTCGCAGTGGACAAGCCCGCGTCAAGCAACACCTGCACAACTGGCGAAATATTCCAGGCTTGAGTGTAGCCATCCTCCATCCCGTTTGTGCTGCACCGAAGGGGGTCCCTCATGGCAGCGGACCAGCGGATCAAGGTGCGGCTACACCATCATGCCCCTCTTGCAGGTAGCATCAAGGGTCTGAACAGCGAAAAACAAAAAACACCGATAGCTGTCTGTCCGAGACTAGCATCAAGCTGAGGAAAAGGTCCAGCTGATTCCCGGAGCAATGCAGTGGAGCTCACTTGCAACATTGCTTTTTCATGACTCTGCGTCTGTTGGTATAGAGCCAATGCTGAAATAGCGACATGGCACAAATCAATCGTGCCTTGCCAAGCAAAACGTCATTCTCGAGTGTGCCTTGGCGTCAGCAAGCAGCCGATGACTCATGGTCGGCATGCATTGTTGAAAGCGATTGGAGATAAATTTGTGTCTGTGTAGGATAGCTTGAAGGGTCCTTGTTCCCAACTCAATTACGGAACAACATCCTCAGCTAAGAACCTCTGGGCCTTTGCCAAACGGCTTGTCAAACACCTTTGGCCTTCCATGTGCTCAAGTCCCACGTTCCTGGGGCAGTCGAGCAATACGAACATGTTCAACGCGCCTTATTGGCTGTAGGCGATTCTGCAGCATGTCCCTGCACGATTCCGCACGCCATCTTTTCGGTCCACGGCCAGCGACTCCGCTGCCTTTGGCAGGGCTTATCGCCTGCCTTCACATCGGCATCCTGGAGAGGAAAGCAGCGTTGAAGAAGAATGCATTGGTTCAACTGTCTTTGCTGTACTTCAAGGGAAAGTCACCCTTTACTTTCTGGGCAGCTCACTGAATTGTGAGGATGTTTGGCTCAAAAAGAAGTGGAGAGAAATGCAGCCCGCGCTGAACACCTCCGTCGTGGGTACAGTAGTTTCCCGGACATTCAGCAAACAAAGAAGAGTTGCAATCTACAACTTCAACTCACCCGCACTCTGATGGCGGCTCCTAGTGGCAGGAAGCATTCATGTCCTTGGCCAGCTGCGCAGTTGAGTGTGCGGCGCTGCAACATACAGTATTGCAAGTGCAAGGAATGAGTTAATGCTGCGAGACGGCTCAACCTTTTTCAGCTCTGAAATGCTTGCAGCGAAGAGCAAAGGCTTTCCCTGGCTTCTATCTGTCTTTGATCTGCGACTTCTTCTGAATATCTTCCTGCCCGGACCCGCAAGTGTATCGGCGCCACATCTCAAACGATATCCTCAGACATGTGAAATACATTCGTGGTAGCTCAAACAGCAGGACACAAAGTTGACGCAAAGCTGTACATGGTCTGGGATTCTTTTTCTGCCATCACTCGACGTAGTCCTTGGTCCATTGGATGGAACTGTACCGAAATGTGAGATCCGACATCTGAGACAGTATCGTCACAGTATCGTCACCAGTCTGAGCTCCGAATCTGCAGCAGCCGCATTTCGCGCCTTGAACAATTGCGCTTCCAGGCTGTCGCACCACTTCGCAGATTGCAATCCTGAAAACTCGCCGAGTAGCTTCTCCCGGCATTCAGCTACCTTCTGTCTTCGAAAAGGCGAACATCAGCAGCTTGTGCACATGCCATGTTGGTCTGAAGATACACATCGCCCACCTTGGTGGAGATCTAGTAATGGTAAAGAAGCCTTCAAATACAAACGACGCCAAAGGCTTCAGCGCAGAGTAGCCGTCCGTCACCATCAAATATACCCATAGGTCGTCTGATACTCTTTGAATCGGCTGTTGAGCACCTGTTCCTTACATGGCTAACTAAGCCTCACATAGCCTCAGCTAGGGAGAACACCATCTAGCTCCGACACAAAAAGAGCAGCGCTTTGCTGAGACATGCTGGGGATATGAAACGGCTCTCAAACAAGCTTCGTACTCTGGATCTTTCAGCTTGTTGAGCTGCTGGTTGGACGCCCCACCGGGCGCGCTTTCCAACTGCCGCGATTCAGCGGACCGGTGGTCTGGCCACAGCTTTGTGACCTGCTGCCAGTGGGAGGCTTTTTGCCGGCTTGAAGTGAACTTAAAATCAAACTTAGAACATTGCGGAGGACTAATTATATACTCATACCATCACCACCAAAACATAATCATGCCATCTGGTGCAAGGATTGGTGCAATCCACGTACTAGACCGGTTCAACAGCATGAGTCATGAGTAAAAGCAACAAGCTGGACGTACTGGTGTCAGCAAACACGCTGGCATGGAACGGCGTAACGGCGAGTACGCTGTCCATGTTTGTTCCGAACCCTCATCGAGGGTATGTAAAGCAGATTAACACTTCGCCCTTGTGACGGTGTCTCATCCCTCAAGCCCTGAGCTCTTTGCTGGATCTGTGGCAGGTACATCAAACCAAAGAAACTCGGAGTGCAAACACGGCATTGCGCCATCTTATGCTGGGAAGCACAACAAATTTGAGGGAACCTTGGAGCACGTGCTTTGTGTAGCAAGTCCTCTGAATGCCATAATTCACAAACGTACCGCTCAAGAGCAAGCTTTCATGCTGCTGCACTCTGGATTATTTTCTGGTGCGACCCCAATTCGGTAACTTGCCTCTTTAGGAAAGCATGGGGACATTTACATGTCTGCCGGAACGTCTTAGTCTTGGCCACCAAAGGAAAGACGGAACCAGCTTGAACGTAGCCAGTATTGTTGACCAGAAACAAAAACCCAGCAGCATCAATAATTCCGCGTAACAGCAAATGCAAAGACGTCGAACATTTATCAAGCGCCAAGCTTTAAATTGGGCCTTTACATGAGAGCATGCCGTTTAACCAACGCGCCTGGCATACTGCATTGCCGCAATGGCTCCTTTTCAGCTCGCGCAACTCTGTGTCCACCTCGGTGAGTTGATCCTGACAGGGCATGGAACTAGTGAACAACATAAACAGACAGAAAGACAGAGAGAGACAAAGAGAGACAAAGAGAAACAAAGAGAGACAAAGAGAGACAAAGAGAGACAAAGAGAGACAAAGAGAGACAAAGAGAGACACAAACAAACAAGAAAGGAAGGACGCGGGTGGGAATGTTGGTGCGTAGGTAGGTAGGTAGGTAGGTAGGTAGGTAGGTAGGTAGGTAGGTAGGTAGGTAGGTAAACACATACACCCTTGTGTATATACAATATGGACAATGCCTCCAAAAAGGCGCACATCCGATATACTTCACACGTCCTGGACATCTTAATATCCACAGCAATGCCCTGCCATTCTCAACTAAGGGCTATTGAGCACATCCTGGCTGAAACAAGAATCTACCTGGCAAAGGCCTGTGTTTTCCGCAGGGTTCATTATATGCACTGATCTGGCATAACACGTTAAACAAGTGAAGGGGTGTAAATTATGGAGCTTTGCATTCGGTGAGTAAATTGTGTATCATCGCATTCATCCCGACAGCGTGCGACACACTTCTTGTTCGATCATCCCGAAAGCGTGCAACACACACTTCTTTTTCGGCTTTTCTCACAAGATCTTGTGACATGTCAGCCTGCCAATGAGCACGGCAAGGAGGGCCAACATTAACCTTGAAGGTTCAGGTGTTGATCGATTGCTAGCGAACCCAATGTGTCAGAGGTATGACCCAAACTCATTCAAAAGCCGTGGGTAGTTGCGCGTGCCTTGCTCACATCGATCGCCAGGTGCTCCGCAACTTTCTGCAAACTCGTCACGGCGTCGCGCATGAAATGCTCCTGGGCTGAGGGAGGTTGGATCCTTGAAAGGCACACGAACCGAGGCTTCCTCAGCGAATGGATCAGCTCTGCTTGCAAGCCCAAGCGAAAGCTAGGATCCAAAGCCAGACGTGGTGGAAACGCACATGGTCGAAAAGCATGGGTGTCCATGCTACACCTCTTTGTGTGCAAAGTCCCCCGTGCTGCTTCAGCCCCAAGACAAACATTGGCTTGGAGGGAACGGTGCAGGTGAATGCTGTTGATGCTGGCAGCACAACTGTGAAGTTCAAATCAATCAACCTCAACTTTGCTGGGTTGGTCCAGGCTTAGTAGAACCATCTGCGCTGATTGCCGCCCATCAGCGTACGCCAAATCCAATGTGCACCTTGTACGCCATTGCATGTGCTCAGACACATAGGCGTCCGGAATAGCAACCTCCCACTTCACGCGACGGTAGGAGGCAACAACGCCCCGCAAATCCCGGTGCGTAAGCAGAATGTTCTTGGCCATGTCGATAAACTCCGCGTAGTCTGCAAACCACCTGGCAAACGCATTTATAGAAAAATATGTCCATCTATATGGTTGGTGAACAGCCAAAGCAGCCAGGAACTTGTCAATCCTCATGAACATCAAACCCGTTGCTTCTTGGCTGGGTCTACCTGCAATGGGGTGCAGTGGAATGCTAGATGCAGTTCTATGAGCATTCTGCCAGCCCAGGTCATCCCGTCCCTCTAGCAAAACAACAGTTAAGCATCACACATCGAAAATAAAGCCATCACACACACATATCCAGATTACGCACAAACACACACACTCACTGCCATGTGATGCAACGTATGTACATTATTACACTATAGTAGTGTGTATACATACAACATCGATTGACCTGTCCTGTGTGTGGCGGCTTGCTGACGTACGGCATTCTTGGAAGTCTTCATGCGCAAAGCATTGTCGTTTCCATCATTTGGCCAATACCATGCAATGCTGGTTGGCAGCTGCGGTGCACTTGCTGTTTCTCAGCCGACATATAGGTTTCTGGATGCCGAGAGTGCTCAAATGCCCGTGGCGTGCGGCACTCAAAATGCTGGAAAACAAAGACCCTTCAGCATGTCCAGCCTCTGGCAGCTCAAAATCATTCTGCCAAAGAACCGTGCTTCTCTCTTGTCTGCAAAGTCAGAACCGCTCTCGTTGATTTGTTGGATCTTTGATCCCCCTACGAATCCGAAACACCGAAACTGTTTGCTCAAATAGAAAGCGGGAAGATACTAGCATGTATGCATACATATACATACGAAGCATATACATACACACGTACTATGTATATGATTGATATCCCCTCCTCCAAGTGTCTCCTTTCCGGCGCACTGCATGTAGGTTGTGTAAATGACATGATGCTTGCCCCCGTGAATTTTAAATACTTGTTGGATAAATTCTAGATGCCGTATTTCGATCCTGGATCCAACATTGCTCTGAAAGGTTCCCCAGAAATCTTGGCTCTTGGATCCGGGGCCTAAATACCGCGTTTCTATAAACTGTATTCAGAATTGTGGTATCTGGGTGCTCCTGCTTTTCTTGGCATCGTTGCCACACAAAATACATGCGCACCGTAAATAACTTTCCCCTCGCCTTTCTTGCCCTTTTTGTGGTGAAAGGGAAACAGGACCCCGGGCCGATCTTAAGGCAGTCAAAAAAGTAATCTGATGCTGAATTTCTGTTGTTTAGGAAGGTCTTGCGACAAAAGTATTTCCCGCGTGTGGGAAATCACCTTTTGCTTTTTCCCCGGGGGGGGGGGGGAAATAAAAGACACACCCGATTGCTGTTTTGAATTAAGGACGCCGGAAACAGCCCGGCCGCCCCCCAATAAACTGCAGGGACTGTACTAGCAGAGCGGGTCCGACCCTTGCCGAGCGAGATAAATGACGGGTCCCGAGTTGTTTTGGGATTTGTTCCGTTTTGTTTTCCTGGGTTTTCCTGAATTTCCGTTTTTTGGGGTGTTGTTTTGGGATTTTTTCCTGGGTTTTCTGTCAAACTGGCAGGTGCGATCTTTGTTGGTTCTGCTGGGTGGGATATTTTAGAGTTGGTTTGGTTTGCTGGGGGGGGTAGGGGGCGGTTGGTGTCGTGTGCTTTGGGTTTGTTAAGGGTGGGTTTCGAGCGGGTATAGAGCGGGTTTAGTTTGGGTTTAGTGCTGGTGCACGGGGGGTTAGGGATTGGTTTTGGGGTTGCTTTAGGGAGCTATAGGGTTTGCTTAGTGGGGGTGGTTTGAGGTGGGCTTATTAGCAATGGTTTTGTGCCGGTTTTGTGCGGATCGTATAATACAAACCCTCCCTGCCTATTTTTTTGTCCAACATACTGTTTCTCTTGGCTGAAGCAAGGAAAACTGTGATATGAAAAAGCTCTGGAGGACTTGGATCTATGAATGTCCCCCTCTTGAGTCTAAAAACGGTATTTGGATTTCTAAATCCAGTTCCAGATTATGGATCCAAGATCCAATAAATTTGGGGCACGTTTGGGAGCATTCTTGGATTCTGAATACCGTATTAGATTTCCAAATGCTGCATCTAGCTATCGAAGTACCGTATTTACCCTGCTTAGAATGTCTTAATACGCTAAGATTGCTCCCAAAAGTCCCCCAGCAACCTTAAATACCGCTTTTAGATTTCCACATGTCGTATTTCGGTCCTAAATCCAAGATTTCTCGCAGAAATCTTTGATCTTGGATCCAGGAACCAATTGCATTATTTGGAATTCTGAATATGGTATTCAGAATCAACGGGGGCAACCCATGGATCCAAGATTGCTCCCAGTCTCCCAGAAATCTTAGATCTCGGATCTAAATGCGGCATTTAGACATCCACATACCGAAATTGGAATTCGGGGAACCCTCCCCTGCTCAGTGCCCTCTTTCTGTTCTTGTCAAACATCCCGGAACAAATGCTAAAGTAAAAACACCATGTTGATATATATATATATATATATATAGTACATATATATATATATATATACACACGCGAATGTGTATGTATATATATATATGTATGATATTGTGTATATCTATCTACATACTCATTTATATCTACTCACTGCCATGGTAAACATCTAGATCACATGTCCCGTTCGAACGAGGAGCTCATGGGTCTTCACCAGCACCACAGCAGGCGGCTGCGCCCGAAGCCGCTCCGCGAGCTTCTCGCGGCTCAGGCGCCGCAGCCAGTAGGAGTCACAGGGCATCTGCGCCTGGAGGGGTCAAAACCCAAATCGGTTAGCCCCCAGTGAATATCCGATTCAATCCAACCACTAAAATAGGTTCTAAAATGGGTGGTGAATTCACCTACCCCCAAAAAACAAACCATTGGTGTTGACCCACGGCCATCTTGGGAAACCGAAAACTTGGTGTGCTGACAGACTCACCCTGTCCTTCAATGGGGTGAGGTGTTTGTTTTTTGCTTTTTTGTAGCGCCGGCTTTCTACCAGCCCCAGCTCAGAACAAGGCCTCGCTCGGACTATGGGTGCCCATTGGCTTTGATGTGGGGCTCCCAACAGCATCCGGGATATCCTATCCCTCTTTGACGAGATTAAATGAACCCCAAACTAACCCAAGACCCGCCCTCATTAAGACCTCAGCCATCCCAACACTCACCCAAAACTAGCCCCGAGCAGCTCAACTGCCACCAAATCACGGCCAATATGCATCCCTGACGCCAAGCAACCGGGATGCAACTAACTAACCAGCCAGCCAGCCAGCCAGACAACCAAACCCCGAGCCGGTGCTAGTAAACAAAAAACACCGGTTCCTCCTTCAATGTCAACGTCAACAAGGGCCCCAAACCCCTGGGATGACTGTCTTTCTAGCGACATCCTCGAGCCACAAATAAACGCGCATAATCATTGGGAGCCAAACAGGCTTGCCTGAAAGCAATGTGTCTTTCAAAGTCAGCGGAATAAAATTAGGACAAAACAATTTGGCTGGCTGCCTTAAAGTTTTGAAGGAAACTCAAGAGAAAATTTGGGACGCTGCCTTGGAATTGGCATTGCGTGACTTGCAACAAGGCATACAAAACGAAACTATGATGAAACAAACCATAGGACTTGCCTTGACACGTGATGCGTGCATGAGTCCAACTGAAGCACTTCAGCCATCATTTGTCATGCGGATGGAACCCGAAAAGAATCCTTTCTCACCAATGAGTGGTTTTTCTGCCCACAGAGCTCGTCATCCACGCCTTCAAGTGAAGCAATCGAATCGCATTGAAGAGCCAGGTGCTTCCCGAACGCTCCGGGCCAGCGCAAATCACCTCATTTGAGAGCAAAATAAAGGCTCCGAATCTTGGGCCAGCGACTCATACTTCAAACAGGCATTCATAGCCCCTATGCCGCTGACCCTATCCTATTTCATGGGGATGACTCATCCCACCACCAGCTAACCAGGTCCTGAATATGTTCGTCATGCTCTAGCATATATGGATCATACACAAGACATACATATTATACAACAAAGTCGGATAGATGCGTACATCGCACACATGTAATTGTATGGGATTGTCGCGAGCGAACGGCGACTTTTTTCCTTGCTTCGGCGCGTGCGCAGCAGTATATGCCGCGACATGCGCAAATGCACGCATGTGCGTGCGCAAAGATGTCTTTTCTATGCTGACCCTTTCCCGAAAACGAGAAAAGACAAGCCCCGTGCATTTTCTCAGTGCTCAAATTTTGGAGGCTGCGAGCAGTGCACGGTAAGTGCTGCCCTTAGCCTTTGTCAATGTCTTGTGTGTGCCATTCTGCACAAGCTTGCCGCCATCCATGACTAGCAACTGATCTGCCTTCTTCGCAAACCGCAGTACATGCGTCATCATCAAAATCGCAATGTTCTTTTCTTGTGCATACTGTTTCAGATTAGCAAAGACTCGATCTGCCGTCCCCTCATCCAGCGCACTTGTTGGCCCATCTAGCAACAAAACACTGGGCTTTTGATAAAATGCGCGTGCCAAGGCAATTCTCTGACCCTCTCCGCCGCTAGGCTCCCATGTTGCGCGATACACAAGTTGTTCCTGCAGCCTTGCCTCGAGGAAGTCATCAGCTACAGCAAGCCTGATGCTCTGGTTCAAGTGACTGCTGTTGCTGGTTTGGTCCATCATGATATTCTCTTTCACAGTGTCCGGGATGAAGATCGGCTGCTGCCGAACCAGAACTACAGCACTCCGCAAGTCGTCAAATGATAATGACATGACCTGTTGTGAACCAAATTGAACCGTGCCACTTGTTGGACGCACTTCTGCCGCCATCGCGCGAAGAAGCGTGGTCTTGCCCGACCCACTCGAGCCCACCAACACAGACACCTTGCCCCGCGGCAAACTGAGAGAGACATTGCTCAAGATCATCTTTCCTTTGCGCTCCAGGCTCACGGAGTCGACCCACATGTCATGCTGCTTTGCCACTTGCCGCGCAAGGTGAGACCGGTTGACAGGTCGAGGCCTTTCCCTGCGGGAATTGATGTCCGCTATGGTCTTGCGGGACTTCGACACACTGACTTGGGCCTGAAATATGCTTTGTAACGCGCGGGAGGCTTCCACTGACAATCCGAACAAAGCATGATAGACTGCAAATGGGATGGATCCGTCCATCACTCCTCCACCCACCACACGGTAGATGACCACGAACATTAGACTTTGTCGCCATGAGTCCGCCAACTTCCACTTCTGCTCTTGGCGCGCTGTGAGAATCGACGCATTTTGTGTCAAATGCTTAATTCGCTCCTCAAGCCGGGCAGCTCTTGCATCAGTCACGTTGTACGCTTGAATCTCCAATGCGGCTTTGACCTCACTGTCTACACAGGATGCCAGCTCTCTGATCTGGACTGTCTCAGCCGCAGCTGCAGCACTGATCCGCTGACTCATGATCGATGTGATTTTCGCTCCTGCTACAATTATGACACAGAGCGGCAACAGCACAACTCGGGCCCTTGCCTGCCCGTGCAACAACTTCAGTATGAAGAAAGGAAAAACACACATCCCGATCAACGCGGGAAACGCTTTCTGGACAATTTCCTCAAATTTTCGCACTTCCTCCAGCATACTGATTGCCAAGCCAGAGTCATAGCTGGAGCCTTCAAGAATGTCTCTGACAATTCGGAACTGGATGCTTGCTACCACAACAAGGGCAAGTCGCTTGGACAGCGTTGCGTAGCAAAAGCTACAAATGTCCTAAAAGCTGCACCAACACCACTTTTCCCAGTCGCGGATACAACTCTGATCTTTGCTGAGCAAGGAAGCAGTATTGTTGGAGCTCACCCACACGGACCTTCTCAAGCGACGTGCAGCTCATGTACAACACCTGGAAGAACAGCATGCTGAGAGCAAGGTATCTGTTCTTCCAAATCTGTTGGCATACAAAGCCCTTTGTCAAGAAAGGTCCGGCATCCTGCGGCTGGCTGGACACAGCTGCCTTCTGCGCTCTCATGCTTGTCAAACGCGGGGGAATCTGTTCTGGTCGAACATACCAGCTGCTGAAGCCGATTGCGGGGCAGCCAAAGCAAAGTAGAAGCCAAGGCATGATGCTGCCAACCAGCAGGCAGCTCAAGAATGGCTGTTTGCGCTTGGTCCGCATGACGAATTTGGACATGACGGATGGCACAGCCAAGATCATGTACCTAGCAGAGCCATACGCTGCGGTGCATCTTGGCTCAGAAATCGAGCCGACACTCCAAACCTTTGTCCACCACAGCCGAAAAAACTTCTTCAGAATAAGTGACGTTTCGCCGGAACTGATGCGGTGCAGCCCCGCGGCCAAATGGCTCGTTTTCAAGCGCGGCCAGTCGCCCCTCTGCTGCTCGCGGGGCTCCAAGTGCCGGCGCTCGCAGTCCAGCGAGCAGTCGCGGCCGTTGCAGTCGATGCCCAACAGGAAGTAGCCTCACTCAAGGCTCAGTCATTCGTATCTGCCACAACACCTCACTCTGGTTGAGTCATTCAGGTCTAACGATGCCATGTGATATGATTCAATTGAAAAGCACTTTGCCCAAAGAGGAGTCTGTACAATGCTAATTAATACGTGAATGCTTCAGCACTAAGACCTAAACCCATGGGCCTGCCATTTGCTGATTGACTTCAAAGACGGGATAAGAGGGGTACGTGGTGGCTTCCATGTGAGCAAGAGGCTGGGTATATAGCGGTTGAGCTCGGATGAAACTTCCACAAATGGTCAATGCTCCAAATCTGGTTACGCACATCGTCAAGCTTGAGCGAGTGGGTTGTTGTGGATGAGGTTTTGTAAATTGCAAGGAAACAATGTAAATGTAATGGATCGGTATTGTGCAGCGAGAATTCTTGGGCCTAAGCACAAGACGTCATGGCAATTGGAAGCTCTGGGACTCTTGAGCGCGTCCGGCTAGATCCAAAGAACGGTTATGAAATAAAAAGGAAAGTAACTCTTTCTTTGCCTCAAAGGGCAGCCAAAATGCCCCTCCAGTGGTGCCCTTGAATTTGGGATGGGATAAAGCTCCAGGAAACAATCTACGATGTAGCATGCACAAATGATCACGTCCTACGTGGGCTGCCCTCAGATCCCCCGCTGAAAGTTTAACTTTTAGTGGGTTAAATGGAAACTACCAAAAAATACTAAAAATCTAAAGGCTAAGGGGATGGCCGGGAGCCACCAAGCTACGACATCTTTTGTTCTCCCTGTCAAGTGTCTCGTACATATGACGTACCGATACTGTATCCGAGTAAGCAAGTCCAATGATTGTGACAAGTACGCTGCTCATGTTGTTGCACATTTGCGGGCTTTGGCGGAAACGTTCATTTCTGCTCATCCAAGTACATACCGAACCCAATTCGCCAATAAATGCCACGCTGCCAAGTCCGCCAAAGCTTGTCCGCAAGCACCTCTCCAGGGACTCCTGGCGGAACGCCATAGTCTTGGCCAACATCCGCAAGCAGCAATCCCTCGTGACTTCGGAGAGCCTTTTGGCTCATCAGATGCGCTTCACTCCTTCTGGACTTTGGCTCGGGCCGCTCGCTGCTGGTCGGTCAATAAGACTTGGGGGCCTTCTTCTACAAGAAGGCTCGGTTGCAGATCTCCAGACAATAGCCTGAGGGCACGGGGAACCGGATAACGGCTTTTGGAAGAAGCGGACCAGCAGGAGTGTCTCATTTTGTTTGGAGTTTCATTGCTACGTTTGGCCCAGCAAATTGTCCATCTCTACAGGTGCCTGACATCCGAGGAGCACACTGCTTGACACAGAGACACAGAGACACACAAACACACACGCACACACCTGAGTACAACCCTGGCGTGCGACATCGCAGGCAGACACTGCACCACTGAATATCTTCATACCCCATTAGCGAAGAGCAGCTTGCAATAGTTCCGTGTTCATGAATGTGTCCACATCAAGATATGGTAGCCAACGATAACTGCATCATGCTCGTCAACTGCATGAACAAACCTGAAACAAACTTCAGAGCTGGAACGCATGCCACGCCAAAGCAAGGAGCAAAAAGTCCACCGGCACAGGTTGTGTTGCTCTGTACTAATGCCAGCTTGTGCACAATACTACGACCACCAAACGATAGGAGCCTACCCACCAATATGGGCCTACCCAAGACCAATTCCCTGGAAATATTGTCTGTTGCGGATAGTCAACAAAGCCGCTGAAAAATGAAATCAACACCAAGCAAAGCATTCCCAAATCCACAAACTCTCTGGAGGAAACAGTTCATCCTTGCTATAGCAGAAGTTCCAATGCCCGGCTTGCTTCCTGGAAGAAAACACTTTTCGATGGCTTTTCGTGGCAATCATGGTGCAGGAACTGACAGGAGCAGTTCCAAAGTATTTCACTACCGGTCCACTAAAAGTGACATCCTCACAATTACCCTCTCAAATGACTGATTGGGAAACCGCCAACATTTTTTTTTGAGAACCCCTCAAACTGCAACCACCTCGACTCGACAAAGCCAGTCGTTCAGTAGTACCGCGCTTCAGGCGCCCCGTAGGCGCCGGGCCTTGCTCGAACTTCATCGCCTCGTCGCAGAGCCGCAACCAGAGTTCTCACTCGAGCGCGGTAGTCACCCAGGCTCGTGGCGGCTTGGCTCAGCACCTCCTCCAGTTCCTCACACCCCACAACTCAGGCAGCGTGAAAGGGACTGCGCAGAATTGAGTGGCCTATAGTCTAGCCAGGCTAGTCTGAGTTGACTGCAGCACAGTAAGGATACAGCAAATTTTACTGGCATGCAAGGCTCTGTGGCAAGAGTAGGCCCTCTTCCCTCCGCGAAGCTGCTGCAAATCAGCGTTTTGGCCTTCTTTCCTTAGAGTCAATGGCTTGCTGCATCCCTGTGCACAGCATGTCTTCAAGTGGTGAAGCTATGAGGTAGCATCCCTGCGCACGCCAAAGACCCCTCAAAGTATCTGGTCCCTTACGGCACACCGCAAACAGCACAAGTTCATGCAGAAGCGGCACACGTTTCGGCAACCCAGTACCCAGTACTGGCACAACCACTCACTTCCCCAGTGGACTGGCCAGAAAGGTCCAAGCTTTTTCATTGACTATCTTAAATGGTCTTCACAAAAAGTATGAAGTTCACGAACTCAGGAAGAGAAAACACCTCCGGAAGTCGTTTTAACCTCTGTCCAGCCCTATGCCAATCTGCGATCTGTCTCTGGAACCGCCTCACGCTTCCTCTTTCGATGTTCATCGGACATGTGCCATCGCAGCTCAGACGGGCATCGCTACGTGCCTGAAGCTGCAAGAGCCTTTAGCAGCTTGATGGAAGAATCCGCAATGATGGAAATTCCATGCCACGCATGCGCTTGGTTCTTCCCATTTTGCTGCTACAAACTCCAAGACTGTCAACCGGCTGATGGCCGGTCCTCCGTGTTCCTGGTTAGCCGAGTCATTTCCATTTTGGGATTCTTCAGTCGCATTCTAAGCGAGTTGTGTTTCCTTCGCGCCGAACACCTGAGCTAGCGACATCCAGCTGCGCCGGCTGAACAGCCAGGAACCGCCTGCCAATGGCAAAGCCTCTTATTCATTGAAGCTCGAGTTAAATCAAACTCCATGCCCGGTGCTCCAAGTTGGCAAACCTATTCCTTTGGGAGGCGCCTTAAACGCTTAACATTTCTCTGGCGCAGCCTCCGCTTTGTCGCACAAGTTTTGTGGCTGGAGCTAGCAAAGCAGCAGGGCAACGCAACTCAACACTTGACAGCACAGCAGCTTCGCGATCACAGCACGAACCAGCACAGCGATGTAGGTTGACACTTGAGACGACTCAAATGACCTTCCATGTCGTGAGCCTTTGAGCAGCTACTTTGAGAAGCTTGTCGCTGTTTGTGAGAAAGAGTCGGTGTTTGAACACCACTTCTTGAGTATGCAGGCTGTCCAAGAAAGACACGAAACGTACGGTAGCACACGCCGACTCAAGCTGCAATTGTACCATTGTGTATCTATTTATTTGCTCACGCCAGTCTCTTGTCATACTTTTCTCTGCATATTCTGTGGAGCACCTTCTCCCCTTGAGCATCTCGACTTGATTCAAATTAGAAGCGGTACACACCTCAACCCCTGGGCTTTGAAGCCCACCCCATGAGGTTTTGCACCCGCTCCCATCCAGAAATCAGTCCTCGTTGCACTCAGCTTCCCAAGGCGGTCGTCCAAGCCCTCAGAAAACCAAACGCACTCGCGGAAGGCATGGGCCTGTGCCCTGATTTTGGCGACATCTCGATCTAAGTCACTCATGGAACGCAACATCATACGATATCACATCATGAGCACGCGAGGGTATACACTGCTGCGGCTTCTTGGAGCGCAATAGATGCCTTGTCACTGAGAGGAGCTTAAACATATTTAAATCTCAGGTGCCACCTTTGGCATCCCGTGCCTCCATAGCAATCTCTCTGCGGCCGTTGCCTCAGAGCTACAAGTCTTGCGCTCAGTTGCGGATCACTATCGTTGCTATCTCACCATCCATACATTCTTTGCACATCTCCTGGTGTTACACCACACTTTGCGATGACTCAAAAGCTCTTAGGCCTTTGATACAAAACCCACATGAAGCATTTCAAGAAGGGTCCTATCAACATGTGCGCTTGCCTGCCTCAAGCGAAATGGCTCCAGCACTTGAATGCCCTGTGAAATTCCAGTGTCATTCCAACTCTTGGGGCAGTCTGCCGCGTGTGGTGAGTACTGTACGGTGAGCCCTCTGCCATAATTCCAATGAACATCCTGGAAGAAAAACACATCTCAAGCCCGCCAAAAACACCCCATTTGAAGCAGCCTGATACTCTAAGACTCTTGTATCTCAGGCGACCTTTTGAGCTCCCTCTTTTCAGGTTCTTGATTCCTTGCCCAATGCCAAGCAAACGTACCTGGCGAAGTCTTGGGGCCCGTCGTGCAGCGAAACTCCAGGAAGATACGATCACCCTGGCCACTGAAGCTTCCACACAGCGAAGACAAGCTCTGCACGAACATTAGATTGGTGCCGCATGAAATGACATGACAAGTAGAATGCCATTATTGGATGCCAATGCTATGATCCTGGCAAACAAGTGAGAGGACTCAAGTCGTGCGCACCGACAGGCCATGTGTTTGTCTTTCGGCATTGTATATTCACGCCATTCTATCTGCAATGGTCCAGCAATTTTGCAACATTGGGAAACAAAGCCAAGCTGTGGATTTTGCAATTAGCCTCAAGCAACTGTCATGATGTGACGGTGGCATCTCAAACAATCTCCTGCCAAAATGACGCATTCTTATCAACAATGGCTTATTGCTCAATCATACGTGTCCAACACATATTAACTGAGCTTCACTCGATGATACCTCCAAATGACCATAAGCATCAAAATAATTGACGTATTTCTCGTCACCGTTTGATACTGTGGATGGACGAAATCCTGCACCACTGTGACACCATGGGAAACCATTGCTTTTTATTTAAAGGGGAATCACCATTCCAGGGTTTCTGAACGGTGGTGCAAAATGGGTTTTGTCCATCCAGAAGACAGGTTGGCCTTTCCGGGAGGTCGCCCCGCGCCTCGGTCTGAAGCTCATCCACCATGGCCTGAGCACTTTCGGACAGCTCCATCTGGAGGCTGCTCAGCCGTTCAGCACATCACTGGTTGGAAGTCGAATGGCTTCATCCATGAAATCTGCATGAGTATGGTATGGTTGCTGAATCTCGTTCAATGCTTGAATGTAGATATCAGTGCCGTGCTGAACACACAACCACCGCAAGGAGACACCAATCATGCACTTCTGAACTATCAGTAAGCACCAGTAACATCAGTACCTGTCCCACAAGTCAATCTACATTGATCGATTGCCTGGTCGATGTGCTGGCTGTTGCATGCTGTTGCATTCCATATTGTTGTCCATTCCTGCGCATACGTCCTGCCTCGGCATCAAAAGCAACGCCATTCACGGAGACAATGTGATAGTCCTGCGAATGCAGGTGTCAGGGTATACCGCGGCTTCCGAATGCTATATCAGGCTGCAACAATCCCCCGCGTGATGTGGCACAACGACAGGCCGAAATCCTTGCCGACATGTGAGCCTGACTTGCAGGCCTGTCAGAGTTAAAGAGCAGGTCCTCCTCACTATCTTCGAGTTGAAAAAGACGCCTGCATGCTGGCACCAAACTTGCATCTTGCGCAGCAGCAATCATGTATCAGAGCTGTTCACTCGACCTCCCACCACACGTGCATGCAGAATCGACAATTGCGGCAAATCTATACATGTCGTGTCCATCTGAATCCTGATGAAATGCCTGGTTGTGTCAAATATGATCACAACCAGTGTGTGTCTGTGTGCGGAACAGTTCAAGGCCTTGCGCAGCCAACATTGAATTTGCCAACATCTCTGCCTCGCTATGGCAAGTAAGATAAGGTGTGGCCCTGCATGTCCTATCCTTTAGACACGCACATTTCCTCTCACTGAACAGGCCTCCCAACTCAGTTCTAGCCACCCCCTGGTACAGGTTCGTAAATATGCACCGCAGGGCCCCTGGCCTTGATACCATCCGTTTGAACCTAACCTCGACACCGGTTTTCCTCTCACCTTGCGCGCTTTCCCAGCAGCTGCAAGCCGTCTCCGTCGCAGCGGAGCACCGGCCCAAGCTCATCCTGGAGCTCCTGGCCGTGCCTGGCACAGCCGAAATAGGCGTTCGTCTTCCCCAAACGAGGGATTTGGACCCCAACATGTTGGCATTCCTATCCCCTTCCAACAAACCTGCAAAGTTCCTTAGAACAAAGGCACGCGCACACACACACACACACAATGTGAGCAGTCATAAGAGTGATGAATATGTAACATGGTCTCATAATCTAAAGTGAACTTTGATGAACTGTCACAATCCAGAGTATGTATATTAATATACACATACATATTATATTCTCGTGAGGCAGGACGAGCATCCATCTTTACGTAAACTGTCATTGTCTTTCCCATGCGATGATTGCCGACGTTTGAGCCACAGCCTGGTGCAAGATTCACAGGCTTGAATGGGCAGGATAGTACACCGGGTTTAGTTGCTTGCAATGGACAAATCTGTAGCCAAGCGTGGCAAATATTGGAATTCCTGCCGTCAAAAGCAAATCGAAAGCAATTAAGATTCAGCCTGGTTCTTTTTCTATCGAATTGTAAAATGGCATAAGGCGTCCCACATTGAACTTGACAAGCGACAGACTTCAGAGACTTTGGATCAAAGGACTGATTTGCACAACTTCCAGCAGTCAACGAGAAGTATGTTGCTTTGAAGTATCGCGGTCGTTGGGAAACTCTTGCAACTGCTGCCACCAAAGGATTTCCGGCCTTGTCAATTTCGGACGGTCCTGGCGGTGCGCGAAATCTGCTGTACTCTCGAACAAACTTCTCCCTTCAGGAGCGGCGCAGCACCAATAGACAACTATTGCTTGTTGAAAGCCTGATGCCTGGACTTGGAAGTCCAAGAAGTGGGCTTATTCGTCTTATTCATCCGAATGCTCCAGATGGAGCAAGATATCACACGCATTGCGGATAGGACACATAAAACAACCCTCAAATCTCCAACACTCCTTGCGCCAGAGCAATCTTAGCACTAGCTTGAACCATCTTACAGTCGTGTCCCAGCGTTCTCTGACGTTCCCATTGCAAGCTTCAACCAACCGTGTTCTTTGCCAACCCATCCGTGGCGAGCCAGGAAAAAGCCTGTAAAGAAATGGCCTTGCAATGACCTGCTATTGCGGATAATGCGGTAATGAACTGTTACAACAACTGGCTTCATTACTTGCCGAACCGAATGTGGAACTGATATCACACTCGCCAGCGCATTTCTTCAAGCGAAACTCACATATCAAAGAAAGGAACAAGGGCAACGCAGAAATAAGTGCATCTGGGTCAAAACCCCCATGCACCTTCTGCCCCGGCATCGGTTGGTACTCATCTTTGTTGTAGTTCCTCCTGCCCTTCTTGCAGTGTTGAGTAATTATATCTGCAACACTTGCTAGTCGTATCCGTCCATTTGTGGCTCCCGGGGCATCATTTGTTTACTTTCCTCCTTCTTGGCTTGCATTCCAGATCTACAAAGCAAGTTAAGGGACTTTCCAGAAAGAAAAGGCGCGCCTGACTTCCTTTCACCCAAAGATACCCAAAGACTCCCTTGCGTCTATACCCCCCCGTGCCCCTGCCGACGGGCTCTCAGGGTTCTGAGCCCCAGACCAGCTCGTGCACCAGATGCGAAGTACCTGACGCAGTAGCGCCGCCAAATGCATGAGTCACAGTCAAAACCTCGCATCGAATTGCCCATATCCAAAGACCAGTTGCTAACCTTCACTTGCCGGGGCTTGGTTGTGGCAAAACTTCGCATCGAATCGCCCACACAACCCATATAAAGAATCCAAAGACCAGTTGCTAACCTTCACTTGCCCGGGGCTTGATTGTGGCTCTGAACCAGAAAAATGTCTGTCAGGCCAAGCATAGGCTGTCAAGTCGAGGTGAGTCTGAAAAAGCTGAATTTTTACGCAGATCCAACTGTGGCCACTCTGAAAGTCTTAGATCAAAAAGAGGGGTCCCCTGACCAACTTGTCAGGAGCTCCTGAGCAGAAATTGGACGACATAACCCTGTCAGCTACAAGCAGCTAACTCACTGGACAAACATCAAACGTTTTGCACTTTTCGATGCTACCTCACCAGTGAACAACCTCTTGCGAAGCTGCTTGCACACAGTTTCGCGTGTAAGAGGCAATAGTAGTCTCGAACATGGCTTCTGCGATCAACTGTTCCAACAACGGCCTGTAACAACTGATGCCACACACGAAGGTCAGTGCAACGATTGTGTCGAATGCTATATGTCGAAACACATGAAAACCCGCTGACTAGGATTCTGAGAGCTGTAGATTGCATGCAGCCATCGTGTCGTATATAACATGCTATCGCAGTCCACACATATTCATGACCACTCTCACAATGGCACATACGTGTCTAGCAACAACCTTCGGTGGGCCGAAAGCTCCAAGGTAAAGCCAAAGCATCCAAACAGGTTGACAGCAGTTCAGCAATGGTTCCGACCTGTTTCGTCCCTGGCCTTTCAGCCGCCGCAGTGCGCCTAAAGTGACGCAGCCCTGGACGCGAGCGCCGGAAGGGATCGGGAGCCTTCGCAAAAGTCTTGGGGTCAATCTCAATCCTGACCCCAAGGAACCTGAAAGCTTGTGAGTGGCCAGCATTCCAGTGGGGATCTCTATCCTTTCTGCTGAACCTTGGAATGTTTTGCTACCAGTTCAAGTGTGTTTCAACCCAAAAACCTAAAGACTAACTGCCACCTCAGCAGTTGTCACAGGCTTGGCATCCAATGTGCCTCCAAAAAGTAATGGCAGTCTTCAAAGGGTATTGCTGCATTTGATCCGCTGCTTTTCATACTTGCCTTCCGGGCAGTCTTACTGCTTTTGCCAAACCGCCGGCGCGCCTGCATGATGCTGTCGCAAGCTGCTTCCAGATCTGCTGGCAAAGCAAACAGCAAAGAAAGCACCAGGCCGAACGTGCCCACCTCAGGCAGACTGATTGTCAAGATCATCACCGAGCCCTGAGACTCTCATCAGGTCAACTCTACGCTCTGTGAAAGCTTAAACATCTTGCTCTGGGAATCGTTTCAAGGGTTGCTTCTTACCCTCCCACCAGCTAACATGGAAGTGCACAGACCCCTGTAGAAAGACTACTTTCCTCTTGGATAGTTGGTGGGAGGGTAGTCTCCCACGTAGCGCATGACTCGCCGCAAATGGCTGGGGGGGCGGCTCCGACGCGCTGCTCGCAGAGCAGCAAATGCAAGGCACAGGCTGCCGCTATGAACGCGACGCAGAACCTGGGAAGGTGGGCAAACGCTGGGGACATGACGTGAGTCACTTGCTCAAAACCGATTCGGCATTAAAATGGCTGACCCAGAACCATGTAAGGAAATACGAAGGCGGATATCCGCAGCTATTTTTGGCTGGGATTGTCCCTTCCTCACCTTCATCTACCCGGGTTTTGATCGTGGCTCACGTGGGCTTTTCTTCTGGCACCTTGCTTCTTACTCCGAATTCTTCGTTCTCAAAGACCCCCCCTTCTGCTCAAGGAACGTCAAGGAACTAATGATTGAAGTATGTGTGTAAGTGCAGTTTGTGTATGGGAGATCTGGAAAGCCACGTAATGTTTTGAGGAACACCACAGCAATTAACCCAAAGCGCTTTGGAGCTCATAAAGTATGCGATTTCATCCAAGTTACACACATGGCTTGACTCTTCACACAGGCTCAGGACTCCAAAAGAGGCAAAAGACGATCTGTTGATACTATCATAGCTTTGTCACCTGCCTGAATGGTGACTTTTGCTCTGACAGTTGTGGTGTCGACGCTTTGCCACATGTTTCAGTCAGTAGCAAGCCATTCACGGCCTCGACTAAGTGGCTCTTGGCCTATGACACTCGAGAAGAGGCCAGAGCAAAGAAACGACCACTGAGCTGGCAGCGCCACTCGGAAGCCAATCCAGCATTTTCTGGCTGCCAACATCCTGGGAGCGGTTGCGAATGTGCTAGTTGCCCATCATTGATCAGTGCTGAGAGTGTCCTACCTTGCAAAACATCCTGCCATGTTCTTCCAAACATCTAGTTTGGTCAACTTTGACGAAACGTACTCGCCAACCGCTTGCCCACTGATGCAAGCTGCATCCTTCCAAGCACTTGTTCTGCCTTAGCAAGGCTGCGCCGGGCTGCGACATGCCACGTCTCGCGAATGTACACTTGCCGTGGCGATCCCCACACTCATGCGCACTCCACTTCATTGAGTGGTCAAGGGTTCGGTTCGGCAAGCTGCGAGCTCGCTATCTTCTGGGACCTCTCCTGCACCTTTCTGCTCAGGGGATGTGAGAACTTCGATCAGCTCATTGCGCCGTGTCAAGAAGCAGCACCAACTGGTCCTTCTGTCCCATGGAATCAGGCTGCCTTGGATGCGGCAAAACGGGCAGTGGACAGGGAAAACCACCTAGTCTTCAGCTGTGCTGGATTGTCTTAATGGGGTTCCACGGATTCACTGCTCAATCTCGGTCATCACACAGAGTGACAACTGATTTTGTTTTGCATGCAACTTGCAACTTTCAAAAACACCCTCACCGTGACCACAGGAAATTGCAACGTGACGTGGTCGCCTTGTGGGGGTTGATCAAAAGGTCCTTTACATGGGATGACCATCGGGGAAAACCCCTAAACATATTATATTTCCCACATGGTACAAGTTTTCCATGGTCCTTTAACCAAGAGGGGCCGAGGGAATACTCATGAACCCCACATCTCTTCGTCAGAGCTCCTGAGGGCCGTGCGGGCAGGCGCTTCTTCAGGAAGGCCAGGGATGCCTCTGGATTTTCGTAGAGCAGCATTCTCGGAGAGGTGCTATACCGGCTGCAAGTCGCCGCCACGTCCTTCAGCTCAGATGATCGACAATCATTTCAACTCGTTTGACATCCGATGACTTAACACCATTCTGGCGAATGTCGGGCTTGCATCAAACTCTGCTTCATGGAATCACTTGCATCAGGGGCCAAGTTGTCAAACAAACTTGCCTTGAATCCAATCTTGCTGGCATCTTCTTAGATTCCGCCAGCAAATCTATGACTTTGTTTGCCGCGAGGCATATTCACTCAAGCCACTCTCGCCATGGTTTCCCGTGCCGAGTAGCCTCCCATTCGTTCAGCCTCCGCGGTGCTCCCCGAGCCAAGCGCGGCAGGTCATTGAAGAAGATCCTCAGGCAGGGCATCCAGATTGACTCATACGCCCATGGCTGATTCAACCGGGATTTCCGTTCTTGGCCCAGGGAATAGGATAAATTCTAGGAATTGTCGGGATAAGCAGCTTCCAAGCCAAGCAAGCAAAGTTGTCCACAATCAGGCCTACAAAAGGGCGCAAACATGCACACACCTTTTTGACATGAGAACCGCTTTGCGCTGTACTAGCTGCGTATGCCTTTGGTGGTCGATCTCTCTTTTTGGATGTCTTCTCAGAAACCGAATGGTGGGGTTCTGTAACGTGTTTGGTAGGAGATAACTGTGCCTGCCAATGTCCCGACTACTGGTATCCACAATGGCCGATTCCGCTGAAACAAATGTTGGCCCATTCAATTGGTCAGCTCAACAGCTCTGTTCCAAGGCCTTCTTTTCCAGCAGAGAATCATGAAGCGTCCGTAGCCCTAGCAACAGACTTGGGTGAATTTCGATAATCTGCGTGTTCGGGAAAGACTTTACATTTCATGAATTGAGGCAAGCTGCAAGACCGTTCACGGTACATTGATTGCAGGCAAAAGAACAACGAACAAGCACCCGGTGTAACATGTGCTGTCAAATTGCTCAAGTAGAACCAATGTCGGAAGCTTGCATGGGATAGTAATTTGTAGATTTGCACCTACTTGGCACGCTTGGCAGTTGAATCAACACGCAAAAGGCAAAGGGCAATGGATGTCCTGTCTCACTCGCGTCAAAAAAGAACATGATCCGAGCCGCCACTCATCAGGCTTCGACAGGCTTCGGCAGTATACCACGTAGTGTGCTATTTCCTCATGCGGACGCTCGGATTCCACTTGACACCCTGCGTCCCCATCTCCAATTTTCGACATGAGTTATGGTCCAACACAGAATGCTTCGTACTGACAAGCAGTTGTGCAGCTTATGTACCTGCACTAACTGTTGGTAAACAGGTGCTCCACCATTTGCAGCAGATGATTGTGAATATTGACACGTGACTCTTTGTAAACAAACAGCACACTGTTCAGATCTGCTCACGCAATGTGTGCAGGCTTTTGCCAACAACACGCCATGTGTTGTGCCTTTTGAATGGGGCCTCTTGATTTGCAGCGGAATGCCAGCTGATGAATTGTGGCGCCGAGCACGATATGAACAGTTTAGACTAGACGGCCCGACTGGCACATTCATTTCAGATGCGCATCCGAGTCTTGCAACCGCTGTTCTTCAGGCAATCGGAATTAGTCCGCGACTCGAAACTGACTGAAATATATTTTGTCGAACATGCAAATGCCCGGGTCCTCCATGTAGCAGCCCATGGATATCATCCTGTAGTTTTTCCTCAGGAAACATGTGCACGATCTTGATGCAATATCAAGTACATCACGTGTCCGTCCAATGGCCCTACTACTCATGCCTGGTGACAAGGCGAATTGTCTAAATTACCTTGATTGTCCGTTGGTCTCCCTTCAGCCTCAGGCAGCCGAAATTATTGTATGCGGCCAAGCATCAGGTCATGACCAATGCGGCCTCGGCACGAGGGTGCAAAGTCAATACAACTATGTCTGAAACAGTGTCTTAATTACCTCGACAATGCACTAATCATGATCTTGAGTCCGAACGACACCATGTACACGGTGGAGGCAACATTCCGTGTTTCCCCAAGAATAGCACGGTGAGGTCAACCGCCCGCAGGCAACATTCGATCAACTCAGAAATTTCAAGACTCCTTCCGCGTGCTCCGTGCCCATTTCGCCCAAGGCGCGTGGTCTCACCGTCAGCGCCAAAGATTCCATCGAGGCGGGCGTGAGGGGTGGAAACCTGGGCAACTCCGCGTCGCTCGAACAAACATGGATGGATCGGTGCGTGCGAGTGGCGCGAGATCCAACACCAGCAACGGCGTCTCTGCCACTCCCACGGACTCCACCAGCTGCTCCCTGACCAAGCTGACTCCCTCACGCATGCATCTGGGGCTTGGGGGTCAAACGGTGCACAGCAGTATGAAACTTCGGGATGTAACAAATGTCAGCAACTGCTTGCATGTCAAGGTGTGAAAGTGAAAGTGCGTGAGTGAGTGAGTGCGTGCGTGCGTGCGTGGGTGGGCGGGTGTGTGTTTGTGTGGGTGTGTGTGTGGGGGTATATTTTTCTTCGAATATACAATGCAGACAGTTTGTGCACTCAATAATTTTCAACCTGTTGGTCTGTGGTTGTGTCAAAAAGGAGGTGGTTGTATAAAACGGAGGTCAGTGAATAACATGTACACATTCGGCTCCGTTTTCTGACACCCCGAGTGAGTAACCCATGCGAAGCGTCTTGATCTGAGGCGCAGCTGCGCCATGTCCGGGGCTCCGCCCGTCCAAGGCACTGGGACGAAGGCGAAGAGGTCGGCAAAGGCCTTCAGGTCCTGACGCCAAAGACGTGCCGGCAGAGGGCACTGGGTAGGGCTCAACCAAAAACGGGCGCGGAATGGCCCGGATCCCGTATCAGAGGTCGTGAGCAAGCGCAGAGTCTCAAGGCTACAAAAGAAACATCTCAATCCAGATCGGTCAAAAGAGCAGCAACAAAGATGCATCAAGCATACCTTGGTGTGGCTACTTGGCTGTGGACGGTTCGCCGGTGTGAGGCTAAATGCAGCTTTCTTCATGGTTGGCCTCTTTGGCACAATGGTCTACAATGATTGATTGCTCTGTAGCGCCCTGCGCTGAAACAAAGAATGTGTGCGTGATCTGGTCAGCATTCAACGAGGACTCTGCATCTTGGCATGATCGTGAACGCAACATAAAGCGACATCCACCAACAAGTAGCACATGTGCGATTGCGGTTGTGGTTGAGATACCTATTGTTCTTCGAGAACAACTTTGCAGAACATGGCTCACGCACGCGCGCCATCGCGCGCGCGTGTTCATCAGCTTTGCAGAGCCCACTCGATCTTTAGGGCACAAACAATTGCACCCAATCACAACTTGGAATTCACTCTGGATTGTTGGCGTAGGTTTCCTAAGTGCCATCCAATTCTTTCTTACCTGTATCTCAAGTTGCCATTCAGACTTGGGTGGGCCAATGCACAAGCTGCCAAAAACATCGCTGAACATTCGTTTCTCCCTAAGCTGAGCACAAAGCACCAATGGCAAAGTAATTCCAAAGGTTTATCCACCTTACGCGACAGGTCGCGTCTTGCACACGTATATGAGCGTATATGAGTCACAGGGTTGTGGAGTCGCTCTTCCTCTCCCTCTCTCTCTCTGCCGGCCTCTGCGTGGTGGAACTTTGCAAACGCCTCAGCGCAGTCGCCATAGCCTCAGTGGCAAAGTGCTGCAAGAAACCGATGGTACAGGATGCTAGTGTTAGAGAAGCGTGCAGTTTAAGTCTTGCTTCTGCACAAGTCGGCTAAGCGATGCTTGCGACGCAGCTTCTCCAGGCCAAGGCAGAACCGAAGCAAGTCTAAGCCAAGATCCAGCCCTGGCAACTTGACCAGCTTCGCGCTTGCACATCAACCCAACCACACTCCCGCCCGCCTCAACACACCGACTCAGCCACCACCCAACTCACCCCACCCGACGAACTAGTCGTTGGTACAACTCCTTCTCACCCCATCAGCCTATCATCTTTTCCATCCAAATCAACCCACAACCGACCCAACCAATCCAAAGCCTAAGGAAACCCAAACTGAAACAAGCCAACTGGGCATCGCATGGCACGGTGTAAGCTGAGTGGCCCTTGGCCTGCCGGCTTGTGTTCGCATACTGGCACCAAACCCTGCAGTTAATTTGTTAAAGCTCGGAGTGATACGACAAACATCATATATTAAATCTATATATATATACATACTTTTATTAAACACCATATTGTCGCGGGTCCATTTTGCGGAGAAGCAAAGCCTTTGCTCACCCAAAGGCGTCCATGTTGCCCCCGGATCTGACCTCGGTTTAATTTTTTTTCAAGGAGCCGCTGCCCCATGCCTTCACCAGCTCATTCACGGGCACCAGGCCGCCAGAAGCCGCCGCCTCCCTGAGTTCGAAGAAACGCAACGAGGGGTCTGATGCGACCCAAAAAGACGCAACGACGCCGTTCCCACAAGATTATTGAATCAACGGTATGTTGCTGTGTGTTGCTTGTTCCTATGATTTTTCACAAGCAACACACAGCACCCATTGACTCACTTCCTGAGTGGATGGGCCAACCAAAAGTCTGAACTTGCTATTTACCACGAAAATGGTCTTCCCACAAAGTCAAAACAAGTCCAGGAACTCAGGGAGTGCCCTAAACTTGTTGGCATGCAGAAATCCGAGCTGTCTACCGAGTGGGTTAAATCGGGTACTCGGACACAATGCGTCATGCGTCACTGTCTGAGTCGCTGATACATCTGCCAGGTGCGCTGCAGCGCTTGCAAGGCGCTTCCCGGCGCCGGGCTTTGGAGGAATTCGAAGGCGGCGTGGAAGACGCGGCTGTGCCAAAGGCTCTGGAAGAAGGTGGACAGCCAACAGCTCTCCTCACGCTTCGGTATGGCAAATGGCAAGCACAAGCACATGGCACACAAAACGTTCTGTATGGGGGTGGAGTCCGACAAAGTCCACCTCTAAACAACTTGAGAGACTGTGTGGAGTTGCAGTAGATTCCAAACATCCACAGTTGTTGCCACAAAGAAACTTGTCTCGAAGGCATTCGGGCATGTCCGCCAAATGGATGAAGCAAATCGGCTATCAAATATCGGCTAAGACTCAGAACGAGGGTTTGCGAAGTCGGTGTGCTCATACCTCGACCGTGAAGCGAGTATCTGCATCATTGTGCCCACATCTTTTGGAAGCAAGGAGGTGCCAAACTTGCAAGGTTAACACACAAGCATGTGCTTCACATGCTTGGCTACTGTAGCATGAAGCAAAGGCTGCCAAACAATAGAATTCTGGAGTAACCTCTCGGCAGGCAGCTGATCCAGGACTTTGATCACATCATATTTCTGAATGTGCTGACGTTTTAAATGAATGACAAACATGGTGCGCAGCTCAAGATTCGTGCCAGCAGACACGGCTTCAATAGGTGCCACCTCATGCCGGACAAATAACATTTCAGCACATCTTATGCTCAGAAACCGAAGAAAGTAGGTCAAAGTCTGCACGTTTCCCACTAGCTCGCACTCTTCCAATGTGCTCATGCAGCGCAAGTTCCGCTGTACTCATTGCCTGCTTCAGCCCTGAATCAGAAAAACCCAAGGGGCCAGCGGGCCTGTCTGGTTCAAACTATCGTTGGCGCCTCGCTAAAGCGCCGCTAGCGCCAAAGTCTCCCAGAGCAAAAACACTTCCCGGAACAACACACATAAATATTGGCAGCAAAACAGCTGCTGGAACACCAAAAAATACTCATAGTCTTTTGATCCCCGAATGAAATGTGAAAACGCGCACGCGCTAAAACAACAATTCAACCGTAATTAATGTACGCGCCCGGCCAGCGGTTGGCGCATGGCTAGCGCCCCCCATGACGATTCGCTTAACTTCCAAGCGTGCACAAAGGTAAAACTCATACCTGGCAAAACAATTGTGCACCTTTCGCAGAAACTGCCTTATACAAGCTTTGTCGTGGAGTTTGAGGCAAACCTGCCCCCTTTTGGGGGGCGGAGGGGATTGAGCGTGTTCTTGTGCTGGGCACACCTTCGCTTGGCAACTCAGGGCAAGGTTGGGTCGTGATCGAAGCGGCAGCCCCTCCTGGACCTCACCTCTTTCTACAATCTGATATAACCTTTGGAGACCAAACACGCAATGATGATAGCTTTTCATCCACGTCCTCCACTTTTGTAATCTCAACAGTGCATAAGCCTTCAAGTCATTATGCAGGGGGATGCCGACGGGATCTGGCTTGCAATCAAAAGGTGCGACGAGGTCCGGCACAATTCGGCGACCAAGCGCTCGCCGACGTCGCTTCTCGCTGCCTCCGCGTGCAAATCGTCTGGGGAGATGCCTCGCAGAACGTTGCTCTGAGAATCTCTGAGAAATGTAGCCCATTCTGATCGCAAACTATCGGGTTCACAAAGTATGCTTGGCATGTCGATGGCCTGCTGAGGCCTCCATTTCACTACAGCTATCAGTGGCCATGTTCGGTGGGCCCCAACGGCCAGGTCTCCGTTTCAGGAGTGAGCTTACTATGGCCCTTGACCACTGACATCTGGTCGGATAAATCCAAACCATGACACATCGCTATGGTGCAATGCCGTGATGGCAAGAGGGGGTTTTCGTCCATTCTAAGTTTGTGAACGGACGGGCCCGGCCCCTCGAGCGCATAGTGCCTTATGAAAATATCTTGCCGCCAGGCCGCCCAAGACGTCTAAATGCGAGACAGTGTGCTCCTTGGCTCGTCGGGCTGGGTGGCAGTGGTACTCAACAAGTCAAGACTTAACGCCGTGTTTCCCCGGACCCTCAAAGGTTGTATCCGCAGGCCCAAGGTTGAACTAACAAGAGACATTAAGGATGCAAGCAATCGAAAAAAAATATTTATTTATTTTTTTTAAAAAAAAAAAAAAAAAAAAAAAACATAAAAAAAAATATGACATCAAGACAAGAAAAGCACACCGTGAGATACACATGACTTATGACACTTCTGTTCCAAGGTTCCAAGGCCACAGCCACGCGCATCAGCTCCGGCCCGCAGTTCTGCCGAGACAGGCGCTCGTATGCGGCCCGCTGCTCCCGGTACTGGGCCAGCAGCTCCCGCACACGATCCTTCCAAAGGCTTGGGCTGACGTTTCCTGGTGGTTTGTCAAGTGGCTTGAGATCGTCGAGATCCACAGATAACGGTGAAGGGGTTTGCTTGAGGCAGCTAGTACAAGTACAGTTTTGGACGTCGTGGGTGAAGTTCAAGACTTAAAGCAAAAAGATATCGTGGCAGTGCAGGCCACGTGGTTCCAGCCGAACCTCATCAACAACTTGCTTTTCTGACGGCCTGTGCAACTCATGTCATGTGCACTTTGATGGACGACCGCGCACGGCCCGCGCATGATTGTGTTCTTGGGTTTGCAATCCCGCCTGAGTGCTAAGAGTTCGTTGCAATGAGCGGCAAGAGAAGCTGGATTGCTTCCTCGCAAGGCGGGAGTCTCAGGACTCACCAGGACAGAGCCCCAAGGCTCAGAGCACAACGATTCCTCAAGGCAAAATTCGCCTACGATGCCTACACACTGTAGCTCATCAGCTCAAACATCTGCACATCTTCTCAAACCTAGCCCAAGCATTCACTGAACCATTCAATCAACGGAAATGACATCCGGTGTTTTGAAAGCTTTCATGTGTTGCTGCGAATAGTCCAGGTTCTGCCAGGTGAAATGCGGGTGGCTACATCATGGATCTCATAGCTGCCCACGCATTCTCTGACTGTAAATGTCCTAGGAGGCAAGCCAACCCCAAGCCTAACCAAACATCAAATGCACCGTTCAATGCTTGCAGATCTTAGATTTGCCTGCCCCATACTTAGGCATGGATCCTTGCACATCACACCTGGCTCGTTGGTCATCAGGGGTGCAATTGCCAGAAAACATACATCAAACCAAGAGAAAGCTGCAACAAAACGTAATTTCATCAACTGCTAGTAACAACTAAAGTGCAAATCTCCGAGAAAAAGGAACCTGTCTGCTGAGTGGCACATGACTCAACCGCATGCCCAAGCCTCGGAACCAGGGCTTGCTGGTGGCCATATTCCACTGGCAGCCTGACAAACATCTGGGCTGACCCCTGCCGTGGGAGGTAGCAGACTGGACTTCAAGTATGCCTCTGGCATGCAATGCACAACTTTACATGGCATGGGACATGGGGCGCTAGGTTGGCGCAGTCAGAACACCCGTGACTGCCCGTGTCCTTCACCCGACGTAATGGGCTACAGCAGTCTTTCCCAGCTGGTGCCTGCAGTCCATCCAGCCCTCCACGCCGTCCAGGTCCACGTGCAACCAGTCGCCATGCTTCTCCAATACCTTGAACTCCTGTGTCGACCAATGGGTTGACCACAAACTCACCGGGATGAAGCTGCGCCTTTTGGCACGACAGATTCACGGCTTTAACCCTGCTTTAAGACACCCTCACGTTCTTGATTTGACTCATATTAGGCTGTGGGTCACAAAAAAGGACCCGAAACGGAACCCTGGTTAATGGAAACACGTACTAAAACCTGCGATCCCCTAGTGGCTTCATTTTGACCTTGACTCATATCCCCCTCCCGCTTTCCTGGCCAGCACGGATCACAGCCACTACTTGAGAAGCGTGGTCTGGCTGCTGCCGAGCATTCCACGAGTCCACGCCATGGGAGTACTTCCTGCAGCAATCGACGGCATACAAATTGGGCAAACTGTTGACAGCCTATCGCTCTTTATTTGCACAAACCTGCCAAACAAGAGCAAGCAAGAGCAACATGCAGAATCACCTGCTAAACATGCAGATCCAGCTGCTAGACCTGTCAATTGCCGAGCGAAAAGTCTGACCAGATCGGAGAAGAAATTCTTTCGCCGCTTTGATTTGCGCGAAAAGCGCAAGGCTCGAGTCAAGAACTTCTGAAGGCCAAGCTTCAGCTCCAGCGGCAGATGCCAAGTCTCCATGGCGCTGCCGAGAGGTGCCAATGGCCACGAATCACTTTCAAAGCCGCTGCTCACTCCTATCCATTTCTTCAACCTCAAACAATTTGACCAACACACTGAGACACAGTTGAAGCCTGATTTAAATTTTGTGATGCAGCGTGCTGCTTGCTGGATCACTTACATCTTCGATGTTGGGAATCCACGAGCCAAGCCTGCAGTGCGGCCCTGGCGGTGCAGGGTGTCTGCCTTTGTCTGGCCCAGTTGTATCATCGTCTCGTTGACTCTGCACAAATACACGGTGGGCGGCCAAAGCCTTGCGTGAGGATTCCATTAACTTGAAAAGTATTCAGCAACTTTACATTTGCTGATGACAGCATTATACACACACTGAGCTGCTGAGATCCATCGGGACGAAGGGATCTCAAAGGTCCCCAGCCAAGGCCATAGGAAGAGATGTTCGGTTTATCTAGCAGAATCTCGTCTTGCAAAGCGACCTCTTCGTCGACTAGCTCCTCAGAGAAGTTAGAATAAGTCGGTACCAACTTTTTTCGGTAGTCATGGTAGTCTATTTTAGTAGGGGAACCCTCCCCCCAAAAAAGAAACCGGTAAAAGGGCACTACTGGGGGACGCAGCTGATGCCCCCCCCCCCCAACCCAATCCCAACCCCCTCCCCCCAACCCCACAATGGGATAGTCGAGCTCCAGAGCCCGGGGCCCGCGCCAGAGCCGCAGCGCGGTGCTCGCGTTGGCGCTGGCCACCCGCGAGGTGAAGAACGCGGTGAGGCGGTTGCCACGCACCGAGACCTGGACGCGAGACACGCCGAAGCCTCGAACGGTTCACCTTGGAAGGGGAGCCAAAATTGAGAAAAAACTAGACATACCTGGAAAGCCCGGCGGTGCTGAATCTCTGCCGCTGATTGAAAAATTGCACTAATTTTCGCCGTTGCTGCAAAAAAACGCTTTTTGCCCCCCGAAACGCCGTTGGAGCAATTCGTCAATATTCAAGGACTGCTGTGAACGGCCAAAAACGCCGGTTGATCGCCACATACCGCCGTTTGATTGGCGAAAAACGCCGTTGGTAAAAATCAATCGACCAGCTTGACCTTGCAAAAAGTCAGTTTCCCCCAAAAACGCCTGGAGGCAGAAATTCATGTTCCCAGACGAACAATGCGGTTTTCGTTCAAAAGGCGGAAATTTTACACACCTTGGGATTCCCAGGTATATGCTTTTAGCAGTTAAGTGGTTGGATTTCAACCACTCAACCACAATAAGCAAAGATGTAAAATGTTTCCCAACAACAAGCATGACATTTCATGTTCTGGTACGTCACTTGGCTCTGGCAGCATGGTTGAATCAAGTGCACATTGCGCAGGAACACATACGTTCAAGTCAAGCTCGCATGCCTGCTCGTGCGTTCGTTGCTTGACAAGGTACAGTGAGGCATGTCAGCGAATCATCGGCTCAAGCACATCAAAGCCAAAGTAAAGCTACCCAATCATTTCCACAAGTTTCTGACGCTTGCTGAGCCAACAGCGTCACACTTGCAGAAAGTTAACACGAACAAACCACCTGGAAGCCCAGTTTTCCTTGCCCCCCTCTGCCATACCCTCAGTCGCGGACTGGATCTGCAAGGCTGTCCTCCAGAAGCTGCGAAGTTTCGGAACGTGCGCAGGCCAAGGGCAAAGAAGATCTCAAGTAAACGTAGGCAAAGTAAATGATGCAAATGTAGAGCGGCAACCTGAGCTTCACATCAGGCAACGCCGACACACATCTATCCTGACTAGGTGGCGTGCAGCAAAAGAATCAGCAGCTGACAGGGCACTTGGAAATGGCTGCAAGAACGTGGGTGCCTTGTAAATACTGTCACTCATCATGAATCGAGCAAGCAAGCGATGGCTACAGGGTACGCTGCAACGCTCAATAGAGCTTAACATCCGCAAGCATTTATGATAAGGCCGACTGACTTGCTGTGCATTTCGGCACTTGCACAAGCTTCAGTGACCCCTAGTCAATACCAAGCCAGCTTCAACACATCGGTCAGGTGCGGCTTGTTTGTGCCAGGCAGCAGCACGGTGAGAGCAAGCCATTGAGGCGCAATGAGTAGGATGTAGCCTTGTTGGAACAAGCTGCCCAAACAGCTCCTTCAGGGTCCACATCCCGTGCCTTTCGTTGCATGGCACCGCTCCGAAACCGCCGCATTTCCACAATTCAACGGACAATGGCGACGGTTTTCCACACCTCTCACTTGTTTGCAAAGTGGCTTTGCAAATCCCTGCTCCTCATGCTTGCTAGCACGCTGATCACCAAGCCGTCCACTTGATCTAGATCATCAAAAGCATGGAGTGCAGATTTGAGGTCCTTCTGCTGGTCGAGTGCTGACAGCAGCCTCCGAGTGATGCTTACTTGCATAGTTTGAATCAGGTCTTGCACACAATGGAATCCGCCAATGCTTTCTGCTCAAGACAATTGTGCCCAAAGCAGAATCGCCAAAAGAAATGCGCTGCCTCACGCATGATTTTTCTTGACTACTATAAACACTTTTATGATTCTGAAGGGATCTTGGCCACTAAAAGGACTAAATTGGCCAAATCCAGTGCGCGGTATTGACGTAGCTCGGGGGATTGTTTTGGAGCCGTTTTTGTTGGACTGACTTTTGTCAGGCTTGGCAGTGTTTCTCTTGGGTGTTCTGCTCTGTTGGATAGGTGGATAGGTGGCTAGTTTGGTCCTGCTGCCAGCATTTTGATTTAGCTTTCGGGTTGAGCCAGCCCACCAAATACACACATTTACATGCTACACACTTCAGCATGGGCGGCACAAGGGCGACAACCGTCTTTATTTACAATGTGGATCCTGCAGTGCTGGAGCGCAATCTAATTTGCCATTGATTGAGCGTACCGTTGGTTCTCTGCGAAATTCAGGGAAGTGCGTCTTGAATATTTTCAAACTTGGAACTAGCTGGCAAGTCTCCAATCGGCTATAGTACGGAGCAAAAGTCTGCGAACTCCGAGTGATGCAAAAAGAATGCATGCCCAAAACAAATCCACTAAGTATCGGTATCCTTCACCTAAATCACGCTGAAGCCGACAGGCAAAGGCATCATACGTTTGATAGCCCCGCTCAAAATGTCTGTATCCCCTGCTAATATTGGATCTTGGTGAGTGATCCTCACTCTCCAATGGTAGTGGACCGTCGCTGATTTTAGCTTGCGTCTTCTTCCTGCCTCCCATGTAGCGCCGTTCCCGACGCGTGGGCCACACGGCTCCCTGCCCACTCGCTCGCCAACAGCAGCAAGGCATTGCATGCCATTACCGCGAGAAGGCCTGACCGTGCCGTGGCGGAACTGGGACTTCTTCAAAATCAGGCTTGGTCACACAGCCAACTATCGCCCCCAGAGTCTGAGTGCCTGCAAAGGTCCACTGTTGTCGTGCCGCTTGTTGCAAAAACTGTTTGCTCGACACAACACAAGAATGCTGCCGCATCAAATACTACTGATTTGATACGAACTGCAAACGGTTCCCTTTTGATGAAGAGAGGATCTGTTGACAATTCCTGCTCATTCGACATGGTAATCAGGGCTGAAGCTAAGCACTGCCAAACAAAATCTCAAAGAAGACTCGCTTGCGGTTGGCTTGATAAGTCGTAAACAGGAGCATCGAGAGAACAGGCAGCGGTCATCGGTTGTGTCTGCATTTGGGAAACAATGCATTGGATTTCCAAAAGCCATATGTGCTGTCCGGATGCTCGTGGCAAAGCTCCGGTGGTCGCAGTCACTTTGCACGGCTTGGTCGCCCCAAGCCGCCAGCAACAAAAGCTGCAAAAGCCTGGGCCGACGACACATAGCCATACACACTCCAATTAAGACTGACTCCCGTTTGCATGCGCAAGGGAGTCCAATGCCTCATGTGCTGCCACACTCACAATGCTGGGTAGAAGCAACTCATGAAAGCCAAGCAGCTGGACTAGTCGCTGAAGTAGCACCAGAATGGCGCAAAGCCAAAGGTTGCAAGCGCCGCTGTTCTGGAGCCACACCAGGGCAAGCTGGAAGAGGGACAGGTCTGGCGGCTTTCCTTTGTTCAGGTCTGCAGTATCATGCTTCTCACAAACATGGGACACGCATCGCAATTCCAAATTGCTCGATGCCAAAAGCGCGTGACATCAAGACACTGGCGAGACGGGATGGAATGCCTTGAGCTGACAGAGAATGATGCACTCCCACTGCCACAGACATAGCTATGACCGCCCCAAGTCTAAGATGGAACTTACAATTTCAGCTTCTCAAGAATTCTCGAGCACCAAGTTCATATCCCCAGTCACAAATGGCCCATTCGCTTACACCTGTGAGTGCAAGGAAAGGTTGTGCTTGCCTTACTAGACCGATGCTTCCTGCGAAGAATAAACAAAAACTAAATCAACAGGCATGATTTCCGCAAAACATACGCCTTTCAAAAGGCCCTCGCAACGCCCTTATGACCTTATGTCACCGCGCTCGGAAATCCCATGACTGTCGACAAAACTTTGCCGCGGCTCCGATTCGCCAATCCTCTGGCCTCTGAGCCATCTCCAATGCGTTTCCCAGCACGGCCAGTGGCTGCATCGCCCGAGCGGAGGCTTCAGTTTCTGGCTGGGCCTGTCCAGAGGAGTGGCCAAACAAATACCGCATGACACCACCAGACAAGCCATCAAGCCGAGGCGGGTGGAGCAGTACACGCACTGAATGCAAGATGGTTAGCAAATGGCTGATCCGACAAGCATGGCCAACCAATCAAAGGCTCTCTGTGGGGCAAACCAAACCTTCACGGAAACTTTGATTGCAAAATTGAGCTGTGCCGAATACTCTTGTCAAAAGCGGTACTATGAACTTGCTTTCGCGAACCCTTTCGCGATGCTTTCGCGACCCCATGTTTCGTTTGTCGGCACATTCGCGGTCGACTTTTTGAAACACACCATTTGGACTGCATGAGCTCAGAAGCTGCAGGTTCCTTCTGACCATGGCCATTGGCCTTTCTGCAAGTGAGTGCGCCCCAAATGTATGACTGTGTAAGACAACTCCCGCTCACCATCAACATGCAGGCTTTCGGGGGGCCGCGGCGCGACCTTCTTTAGGCACTTGATAAGTTTTCGCAAGCTTTCGCGGCCTGCGTTTTGGCTTTTGCGGGGGGTCTTTGTATTGCCAGGGTTTATGGAACTGCTCGAATGAATACTTGGCAGCCAGGCTTGTTTTCAGCGGAGTGGCGAGCTGGTACGACATGCAACTTTGAAGCAAGATCCGCTGAAACATACTTCAGCAGGTGGCAACAAAAACTCATGGCGCTAAAACCCTCAAATATACCATAATCATCAGTGGCTTCAAGCAGACTGGCCAAAGATTCTTGCTCAAGAGATAGCTGCCAAGTCTCCGCATGGTAGTGGAGACACACGTTGGAACGTGTGAATGTGTCAAAGGCTGCGACATCCAGCGCACGGCCACGGCTCGACCTCACCCGCTCACCCGCCTGTGTTTGGCCTTCGATGCAGCCGCCACGCAGCTGCAACACCCGGTCGAAGCGGTGCGGGCCTGGGCAACGCGGTCAAAAGGAATCCAGTGTCTGGTGCTTCCCCCCGAATTGGTCGCTGGCTTTGCATTCTGAGTGGTGTCGACTCGCTGACCACTTGTAATATTCCAACCAACCAAGTAGTGTTCCAACCGAACCAGGCCAGCCAATAACAAAGTAGGTCGATTGAGGCAGAAGAAACCACGACGAGGCACAAGAACCCTAAAAAGAAAAACACACATCGTGCAGTGAAAGGAAGACTTCGGCGCGGAGCAGCGCTTCTCCAGGTTTGACCTTTTAGGAATGCTGCTAAAAGCTATCCATTGGGATCGATCGCAAAATGCAGGAGAGCAATGCGGCAGTGCCTGAAACAATGCTGTGCTGGTGGTTATGCCTTTGCTCATCTGGAGACCCGTGTCTGCTTCTGCATGTCTCAACCACAATGTGCACCATGATCTGTGCAACATAAAATGAACATCGAGCCAATATCGAATGATATGAAGCCACCTCTTGACTCGCCGGCGCATTTCGGCTTAGTTCGAGCTGTCTGTCACGTCTCTTCTGATCTTGACTAGACCAGTTGCTTGCCCTCTGCCCAAACCAGGAGACATCAAGCCTCACGCTTTGTCGAAGACAGGCCCCCATCAACCGTCCAGTGTGCGAATCGAACAAGACTGCACCAAGCAGCACAAGGGCCGCGAGCTCGCCACGATGCAGGCAGAAGACGAAGCGGCCAGAAAGGCCTCCAGAACCTCCTCTGCCTCTTGCTCAGGCAACTCTGCCAGAATATCCTCAAGGCGTGAAGGAGCTCGCGAAAACCAAGGAACTCAAAGCGTAACCGCGCAACACGATGCATGCCGTTCTTGGTGAGAAGTCTGGTTGCTGGTTGCTTGATGCAACCAAGCATCATCCACAAGAATCAGCTCAGGCGGGCGTGCATGCAGGAGCCTCGCCAGCATAATTCGCACGCAGTCATTGCCGTCCACTGGCGAGTCCAAAGAACTGCTGATGCCCAAGTGCATCAGGTCTGCCGTTCGCACGTCCAGCTTCGCAACCTCCTGTTGTCTGCAAATATGTGGCCCTACAAACGGAAGTCCACGTCAAAACCAAAACAATTGACGAGGGAACCATGCGGAATCCGATCTATATCAAACACTAGCATGATATCAAACACTTTTTGAGGAGCACCATGGCATCCGCATGCGGCCGGCCTCTGCCCTTCAAGCTTGACAGGGGCCTGCTCACAACCTCCGCTCTCTGGTGTTTTTTTCGGTATTCTGGGGAGACTAGCCTTGCAGGGGTGCCCTTCATGATCTTGTCGAGCCTTTGATTTCTTTACATGCTGCTTGACTTTGCGCTCTTCAGGGTTTCTTACTTGTTCAAACTGGTTACCCTTTTTTGGTTCTTGTTGTGCCAGCCGGGGGCAGCCGCTTTGCCCTTGGGACTGGGGGAATTAAACCTTTCCTATAGTAAAATTACCAATACAAAGCGTGCGGATTATGGCTAAATGCTTCACCATGGGCGGCGAACTAGTTTCCAGTTTTTGCTGGGCCCAAAAGGAGGTCCTTCAATCCGGGGGGGGGGTTGGCAAACGCCCCACATGGAGTACTTTTGTGCCAAATCCAGGATAAGTCTCAGCATTGGCTCGGCCAGAAAAGGACAGTCTTCGATCATGGGGGGAAATTCGTCACAGGGAAACACCATACACCAGCTAGGTCCTCCAGTGGAGAGGTTAGAATAAGGGTACCCTTTTTTCTGTAGTAGTCTATTTTAGTAGGGGAACTCTCCCCCAAAAAAGGGTAAAAGGGGACTACTGGGGACCTAGCCAGTGTGGCCGGTCCACACCCTGGAGGTCCTGAGCCGAAGCCGCATCCTCGAGCAAAATGTTCTCACGGGCCGTACCCTTCACGATCCATGGCTTCTGAGCGCAGTAGGACCTGAGCTGTGTGAAGCGCACCTCTCACCTGGGAAATGGCCATCGTCTCAAGTTGTGGTGGGTTTCATCTGCTGAATCAGGGCTCCTTGAAAGATACATGTTGCAATTGCCCATTTGAAACATGGCGTGTTCCACCAAAATAAAGGGAAACCACCATTTACAAGGCAATGTTCAGGTGCAATTATAATGCAAGGATCCCTGTGAATCTGTGAGCCTACCAATCACTTTCAAACGTCGTGAAGTTTTGGGTGCCAAGGCACCGTGAGGCACAAGCTACACAGGAGAGGCCGCAAGGGAAAAGCTCCCCCAAGAATGCCTGCAGCAGCGCGCTCTTGCCTCGGCATCTGAGCGCTAGTCGATCGTTTGTGTTTCACCATGGCCGTGGCACATCCTAAAGACATTGGCAGCCGAAACCACAAACAATACCAACAGTCATGGTTTCTGTTTGATAGCTCTCGCCATGTTGGCTCACCTTAGTGGTATGCCGTCCGCGGGAGTCGCTTGTAGCTTAGCCAAACATGAAGAACTCTTCTGCCGCACACAGGTCCGCAATTAACTCAAGCTAGCAGCACTACAGTCAATGTGTGAATGCATGGTCTCCAGTCATCTGGGAGGTAATTGGCCTGATTGGCCAATGACTTTCATACAAACTTCCTCTCAGCAAGAACGCTTGCACCGTTGTCACTAAGCTGTACTGCATCTTCAGCTGTATGTGCCGCTTGAAAGAAAAGAGGCAAGCCCAGCTGTCAGAGCTGGTCTTTCCGAACCGGCAACGGCGCAATCAACCCCAACCAAAGCTAGCTTGATTTCTTTTTGAAACCAGTCTGGGCGAATCTGACTCTGCTTTTTGTGGCCATAACGCAGAAGCTGCTGTGGTAGGCTTCGCACCAGTGTGATCATCCCCTGACTTGTCCATGTTTGTGGCAGAAGAACCGGGTCTAAGCAAGCCCTGCATCCTCTTGGATAGGCTAGAGGCCTGCACCGGGCGGGCCCAGCACCAGCAAGCGCTCGCCCTTGGTGAGGGCCAGCTCCAAGTTCAGCACCGCCGGGCCTGAAAAGCACCGCAACAAAAGTGCACACGAGCACAAGACTTTGTCACTGGAGAAAGTGAGATGAGGGAAACCGCACCGGCCAGCTGGTCAACATCAGCGGTTCTTTGGACTCATGGCAACTTCAAATAAAACTTGCCGCGCAACTTCAGTTGGTGCAAATCACAAGCATACGGGGCTTGGTGTATCCTGTTTTTGTAGATTTAAAACAATTTGGAACCCTGGAAAATGACCTCTTGACATAGCTCTCTTAGGCTCATCCAGAGTCGCTCTAGACTGCTTAGAATATGCTGTGATGGAACCCAAGCAAGTACATGTCATGTGAGCTCGCTTCACCAAACATGTCTGTTGTGAGCTTTCCCAAGAGAAAGTAATGGCCCAGTAGACATTGCTGACAAGCTCACAGAACTGACCAGCAAATTTGCTTGAATTGGGGACCTGGGAGCGGTTTTTGGCAGGTGAAGAATCATGAACATCGGGCCATGTGTGGTGGTCTCTGATTTGAGGAAAGACCAAAAGGTCCTAGTCTGAGAAGCCAAGCTTTACCGGCAAGCTCCTGGCCTTCTTCCTCGTAGCTGAAGCTTCCAGAGATGCGGGCAATAGGCGTACCGCTCTGTGGCAGTGGCACCTTGATACCCATGTTACAAGGACTCGCGCCAGCATTGCATTCAACCCACACAAACACAGCGCCTGATAGATTATCTCGCAAGCGGAGGGGGGAAGTTATGATAACGGTTGGTGCCCGGGATTGCTTGTCTTTGTCAGCTTTTCCACTCCTGCTTGTCCAGATTTCAGAAAAAATGCTCGTGTGATTGTCAAGTCCATTTTGAATCAAAACCATGCCGGCGCGGAATCCCTTCCAGTGAAACCACATCCTTGATGTTGCATACATGGACCGCCTTGAAAAGTATGTGCAGCAAGCGCCCTGACTTGTTCCTCACAGAACCACACCATTAACAACCTACGAGCAACTGTTGATGACGTGGCCCGCAACTCATCCTGCCTGGGTAGAACATGGGTTCCCTGTCATACCACATATATGTGCCATGCTCGATTAGGCATTGCAGAATCACGGACCCGAACTAGGTGTGTTATAGTCCAAGCATCCTTTCTCTGACACGTAAAAATAAACACCCTGTTTGCGCTTGATTGATCGGATGCCTTCAATGGCACATGTTCGGACCCTTGCGACTTGAAATGATAACATTGTTTGCCAAAGGCAAGAGTGTTTCAAACTCAACACATGGTTGCGTGTCTTATGCTGAAAAACCACAGATCCCACATCTCAGTTCGTAAAGGAAACGCCTGCAACCTGGGGTTCCTAACTTTGTGACTCGGTTGCTTTGTTTTAACAATTAATTGGTGTGCTGTTTTCGCGCCACCCAAACCCTGCAAAGATACTTTTGGTCAGGAGTGTCGTCTTGCTTACGACCCTCCCGCGCCCTTCATTGCCGAGAAAATCCACTTGCCAATGGATTGAATTTCCAAGTATAGGGGATATGGGGGCAACTCGTGGTTGGTGTTCTTTGTCTTTCTTTTCAGACCCATTCCAAAAGAAGGTTCCCTTCGTCGGAAACTCTTGAGGCGCGCAAGCAATGGCTTCAGCCGGGTCCAATTATCCACATACACAAATCACCCTGAGCCAATCTTGAGAACAAATGGGCCCCAACCCAACCTTCGAACTCGCTTTCTTTTCTGTCGGACCTCCCTTGAAATGAGTCATGATCAAAACCCGGTATCAAAATGGTCTACCCAGAACTATGTAAAGAATTAAGAAGGCGGATATCCGCAGCTATTTATGGCTGGGAGTATCCCTTACCAACCTCCATCTACCCGGGTTTTGATTGTGGCTCAAGTGGGTTATCCCCCCTTTCGTTTCGTGGAGCGAGCGGCGGGCGGCGGCATCTCCGGCTGCCGGAGGAAGATCTCCGCGCTGTGCAGCACGCCGGGCACCGCCAGCGCGCGGCGCAGCCCCGCGAGCCCCAGACTTGTGGAGGCCTGCAATGAGGTGACGCACCTTGAGACAGGTCGACCGGCGAACGGGACACACGGAAAAAACATCGAGCGAGTGGCAGGGGTCAGTCAGTTGAGAGGGTAAGAGAAAACCACCATATGCGAAATGATTTCCACTAAATGGGGTAGGAGGAAAAAGACAAGGGTAAGCGCTAGAACGTCACACATATTTCTTTGTGTTTGAACACTTATTATAAGCTTAGTCCTCCCACCGAAATACTCCATGTGAATTGTGTGCCATCTGAGAGACTTGTGTGGTACAAGAGCAAAGGGGGCAAAGAAAAGGACGTTTGTATCCATTAAACACCAAACTGGGCACGAATGAGAGGGGAGGGATCGGATGATACAAAGGGGTTTCTTACCCCAGAACATGCCTACGGGGTCCGCTCTTGTCCGCGGGAAGGGATACGCTGATGTGAGGGCACAGGACCAAAAGCGCGCAGGTTCTGAAGGATCCCTTCCCAGGTAGAGAACCATCCCCGTGAAGCCCAAGTCAGCAAACCGGTCTTTTCACCCTGGCATGGTTTGTGAAGTTCCCAGTCAAGCTCGTCTGTCTGATTCGGCAAAGGTTGCTACCCGTGTCATGGATCGAGTTCTGGTGCAGTTGCCTCTATGCGTTCAAGGATCTGAAGCACCACCCACATCTTCCTCGCCGAGGTCTCTTGATGCAAGAGGCTGAGGTATATGCTGGCCACCACAATGATCCACACCATCAAGTGCAAGTTGGCAACCAGCAAGCCCAGCATCACAGAATACCATTGGTTCGCATCCAGTTCCCGGTCCCTGGCATGCTGAATCCTCTCCAGCAGCTGCGGGTCCCTCGAAGTTAGGGCCCCGAGGCAGCGCCGCCTTTCGCCCTGCCAGGACAAGTACTCGTTGCGGAAAGAAATGGCAGACTTCACCACCAGAAAGGCAATGATGGAGCCCGGAATCAGGGAACTCATGCCTGCCGCCAAGCAATTGCATGCAATTGCGGGAAAGCTAGAGTACACTGGACTTTTTTGAGGGATGGCACTTGGACATTAGCGCAACTGCAGCACTTAACTGCAGCACGTTGCCCGGAAATCGAAACATGCTGAAATAGGGCCAAGGAGCAAATGAAGCTCACTGTACGCATGTGCAGCATCATCAGAAGCAGGAGCGCAAGCACTGAGATGGGAGCTGCAGTCATCAACGCCAGGGTTTTCAATAATCGCTGCCACTCGGTTGTGACGGCGGCTACCATGGTTTTGGCGACGCTACCTGAGTCGCCATTCAGCTTCACAAAATCCCATTCCCAAAGTAACTTGTCTTTGCATTAGTGACACCTCCCTGTTCAGAAGTGTGGCTCATTGCCATAAAGCATTGAGACCCGAGAAAGCATTGAGACCCGAACAATGCAAAGTGTTGCCTTTGAGCAAGAGCTTCCACTGGCTGCAAAGCCAGAATCTCCCACGTGGCTATGATACATCGAGCCGATTGGCAGTCTCAAAGCCTTCTCAAAGATCAATGACGACAGGTCTGCCGCAACGAAGGCAACCTAAAGCGAACGGGGCATTCAGATCGTCAGAGATGCCACTCGAAACCCCGAGAAATGCTTCAACTCGTCTCATTGCCATCGGCACGACCTATCAAAATATGTAGCTACTGTGGATGGACGAAATCCAATTCGCACCACCCAAGAAACCCTGGAATGGTGATCCCCTGGTAAATACCAACAAGCAATGGTTTCAACCATGGTTTCAAAGTGGTGCAAATTGGATTTCGCTTTTCCATCCACAGTATCACATGATTGCAGCCCCACCTT